ACCATTGTCAGAGACTTTACGATTGATCTACCAACAAATTGATATTCAGTTCTGGAGTGAATCTTTTTTTCATTGTAGCTAATTTTAAGCTTTTTTTTAAAGAACAGTTCTCAAATATTCTTCATAACTTATTTCATCCATATTTTCTTTGATTTTAGTCTGTACACAATTTTTTCTTAATTTGGCATAGGCCTACCAAGTACCAGTCATAATCATTATGGATTTGAAATTGAAACAGGTATATCATTAAATTCGCATAACATTGGCCTTTGGATAAAATACATAGAACCGTCTTATGATATCAAACTTATGAGAAGTGGAATAATATGGTAACTATTGCTTTTCATTTCTTTCCAAACCATTGGTGCTTGGGAGAGATGGAACTTTGACTGAATTACCTGTTAACAAAGTAGAAATCTCGGGAGAAATCTCTTTTGAAGAAAGTGATTGAATTCGCTGATTCAATGAAAAAAGTTTTGAAAGCACTTCAAAAGAAGCAACATGTGCACTCGGAAGCTAAATCAAAACTGAACACAAAGCGCAACGGTTTGTTGACAAAAGAGACCATTCAACGCGCACCCATATCAACCATCGTGTCGTCATCGAGGAAAAACTTTAAGCCAATCAGAACGCAGTAAATCTCTACCCAGTGAAAGCTAGAGCGTGAATATGCATAGCGTAGCATCACGAGGTCACAGTGGTTGCGCGACTTCCACGCATGCGCTTTGCATCTATCAGAGCTCAATTAGCAGGTTGAATAGAAATTCGGGTAGAAATACCCAGGGTAATTGATTATTGGATGGTCGATAGGGCAATGTGCCCCTCTTGATTTAAAACCAATTAAATCAAGGCAAATCTCTCGATTGTCAAATACAGTGCTTCTGATTATACTAGTCTATAACTATATGACAAACACATAGGGGTCATGACCAAGATAAATCTAACATATTTATTTCTTCTAATTAAATATTATATTTATATGTGCAAATTTTAAAGAGAATTCCCCAGTTTTCTAGGTTCTAAAGCATATATTGCTACATCTAAAGATCTTGAATACCGTAAAGCCAAAGAAGAATACTAACTAGTTACTCATTTTTGCTAAATGGAGGTTTGAAATAAAATACATTTTGTGGCTGAATTTATGTTTACTTATCACTTTACGATTAACGTTCTGATATATTTGTCTTATTTTATATTTTGTGTTACTCTCCAATTATTTGTAAATATTGTGATTCATTTTGACTCAACACTGTATGTATCACAAAGGGGTGAAAATCCCTCGGTGGGCAATCCCACATTTGAGGGAATTAGACAAAGTTCTGTTGATTTAAAAAAAAAATTATATTTCACCTCTTTAAAAAAAAGTTTTAGAATTTGGAAACAGGCTTGTTCTCTTTATCTCTCTCTCTCTCTCTCCCTCTCTCTCTCTCTCTGTATATCGATTTTTCACTCTCTATCTCTCACGCCAAGTCTCTCTTTCCGCCTTTTACCCTATCTCTCTCTTCTCTGTCTTTGTATCGTTCATCAAGATAAGTATCTTTGAAAAGCAAATACACACATAAATATTTTTCGTTTAGTGATATGATTTATTTAAATGAAAGTTACAATAAATTATTTTTCCGAAATGTTTTTATTTCCAGATTATTTTCGACGTAGATGCAGTTTCTTAATAGCAACCCATCGCTTGACACGCCTCCATCTACTGTGCCGTTGGAGTTTGATGATTTGACTTTGGATGGTATTGAGGCTATTAAATATTAATATTGATATTAAAACTGAACAGATTATATGTTTATTGAAAATGTAAATAAAAATGTAACTTTCATCACAACTGTTTTGGTTGTGAGTTAATTTCATCCATATCAACACTTTCCAAAAAATGTATACAAATATTTTATGCTATAATAGTGTCTTCCTCAAAAATGTCATTGCACATATGTAAAGAAATGCATTACCATTACATCACACGATAAAATTACATTTCAATGAAAGATAGGCTTACAAATATAACTGTTTAAAAAAAAAGACATGGTCAGCTTTGACATGCATAACTCACTTCTGAAATACATTTTAATAGCTCCTCTAGTATAATGCCATGTATTTCAGCAGTTATGAATAAAATGTGACAATTAATTTCGTTGGAATTTCGAGAGTTTCAAAAAGATTTTTTTTCTTTTCTAAGAAAGAAGATGAAATAGTTGGTTTTTTTTATTTCATTCATTGTCTATTTTATGATTTTGCATCATATTCATTTGCAAGCATCATGATTAGTATATCTTTACAGGTTCTCATATCTTACAGATACAATTTGTCGGTAGAAAATGGAATGTACAAGGTATAACTGAACATATGCCTCATAGGCAACTTTACACAAAACAAAGACAATTTCATAATCCATTAGAGCATATTCAATTAGGAAATCTTGGTGAAGAAGTGAGTTTTTCAATTTCTATCATGATTGGCTAACCCTTGATTTTGATCTAAAGTGATAAACTAATGAATTGCTGATGTTTGTTATGGGTTATTGTCATACATAATTTACATTGATACTTTCCAAAAAATTTGTATAAAAATATTCTTATGGAAAATAAGATGAGTGACTTTTGGATAATCATAGATACACATACCTTTAAATTAATTGTATGTAAGGATGCTTTTGAAAAGACATTATTTAATTGTGTTTTTACAGACTAGATCAATCAAATATGCTTATTTACGTCCGGGGATTGACTTTAACGTCACCATCCAAAAGAAGTGACTCAGAACTGTGGTCGCCTGGCCAGTTTGTAGGCGAAGACAGAGAGCTGACCAACTGAACGTGGCCTAATTATGTTCACTGTTCTTTCCTATAAATTCGATAGGAAATAACATTTAGCAATAAGCTACTAATATTTTCTTTAAAACAAATTGTTTGCGCATCACTTTGTGCAGATAAGAGAGTAATGTACACAGATTATCTGAAAATTCACACTAGCTTGAGCATATTACTAAATTCGATTACATACACACAGTTGATATGCACATTATAAGTAAAAGTACTAATTCCTACATACAGAAATAGGAGATTGACAATCAAACATCTAACAAAACTAGCCAATTTATACATATATACATACCAACCCGATTGACTTACAGATATAAAAGTAATAATAGCAAGGTCATGGTTGATTCAGTTAAGGTCAAAGTTTTTAGAGACAATCGCAACTTTATTGAAAGACTGAAAGACTACATGTATATGATCCCACATACAGCATGGAATATGAATGTGATCAATTGAATATAATCAATCTTCTTTTTATTAGTATTCCAGTATTTTGATCCTGGGTAAGAACATCTGATAGTGAAGTTGAAAAGTGTAACAACTTTATACACCAATACAAAAACATAAAAAAAAATCACTTATCAATTTAAAATGCGTTCAGCTCAAAGCTTATGTTACTATACATGTATATGAAAAAATGACTAGAAAAACTTATGCTAAGGGGTAAGGAAGAAAATACTTTGAAATATATCTATTTTTACAATCTTGTTAATATATGGTCTCGTGAAGGATTAAAAAGAAATTAAAAAACACTTTAAAAATGATTTACAAGTTAATCAACTTCAGCCTTCAATAAAATATTCATTTATTTATCCCAACAACCATTTGTATTTTCAAAGTTCAAGCCTCATTGCTTAGTATAAGCAACTGATACATCCATAAAACACCACTTCATACAAATATAACTCTCTACTGAATAATAAAAACCCATACGAAAAAAAGGAAAAAGATATATCATACAATTGTAGTTACAAGAGTACACTACATGTAAGTTCCCAATTGAATTACTATTAAAAAAAAAGCAAGAAATGGTTTCTTACTTCCATATTTTTATCTTCAAGATATCGTCACATATTCGGAAAAATATAGTCAGCGTGTTAGTTTATGAGATAGGGTTTTGTGAAAGAGAGAAATTATCATGCACTCAATTTGACGTCATCTGGTGTAAAATGGCGAAATATGGTGCATATTCAAACAATTTGATTAAAAAAATATAAATGGTTTAGTTACAATATTATTGCATTAGCACTGTTCATTTCCTCAGCCTTATTTCTCATCATATATCAAACCTCCAAAGGAAGCGGGCAGGAGTTTTAAAGGAAGCAGATACGGTTTGGCAATTCATTGGACATGAGAAATGTCACACTACAGTGTTTGAAGATATCATCATATTAAATAATTGTTCACATACTTATTAAAGTTTAAATCATTTACAATTGGCAAAGTATTCATAAAAATATAGGTAGAATTTAATTTTTTGTCGTTGTTATTTTCTTGTTTAAAGGTACTATGTCCCATTTGCAGGCCAAAAAAATGAAAAAGTTAAATTTAAACTGCATTTGAAAGATAATACTAATTTAGAACTTCCCTAAAAAAGTTGGGGCTTGAAAATGTCTTCAAGTGGGAAAATAACGAATATTAGTTGTCAAATCGACTTTAGGGCTATAGAGCCCAAAAGTAATAGTCTTGATTTTCAGACAATTGTACCGAATGGTCATACGTTTTATGCTGCGCAAAGATTCAATCAGTTTAATCTTGGCCATCACAAGAAGTGGGTTATTGATGTAGACAAATGCTCATGTATCCTTTACAACTCTTTTCATGTATGTTATCACCAAAGAAGAAAAAAGCCAGTCAGACACTCAATAGTGTCTGACAGTGAAGTCTAGCAAGTAAACGGATTTCCTTGCATAATTTGAATATGAGGACACTGCTAACGTTTAAATTTCACAGATAGGACATACATGACATATTCATAATTCCTGCAAAGTTCTACAGCATTTGAGGTTGGCTGCAAAAGGGACATAGTACCTTTAAATGTTCATCTCAATGTATTGTCAAGAATGACAGATATTGTGTAAAATTGTAATAACACAATTGCGCAGCATGGGTGCAAAGATTAATAATAAATTGAATACTTGTTAATATCGCAATGATGTGAAAGAATACACTTGTATATTCATAGATCTGTGGATTCCCTTATTCTCGTCCTACATTGATTATTGATGGTTTGAAACTGTTCAACTTGGACCTGTCCCCAGTCCTCCCATACACACATCTTCTTGATTTGACTGACACTGTTGTCTGACTTCTTGTTGTCATGGCAAGAAACTACCCTGTTAGAGCCTGTACGATGTAGCTCTACAACCCTCCTATTGTCACCTTTGACTACAGCATCAACATTCAGTACAGTCACTACTTCACCTACTTGGGCAGCCATCCTTTCCTCATGAGACCCTACATTATCTCGAATGTTGACGAGCACAATATGACCATTGGATCTACCAATCCATAAGACATGATCCATCACAAGGAGAGCGCTGACTTTGATGGATGACTGACTCTGAGATGCCAGTATGTTGTGTATGCTTATCACTCGTTGACCGCTGCGCCGTTGTCCACCTAGCCTTCGAGTGTTGGCCCCATGTTGCAGTGCTGCTTTGTTAGCAGCTCTGGATTGATCAACAACTATGGGCAGATCTCCTTGAAGCAGAGCATCTTGACTTGATACGTGCCTATCCTCTTCATTGCTATTTGTTTCACATACAGCTGTAGCACTAGCAAGCTCTTGCTCCTTCTCTCTCTTCTCCTCCCAGCTCCTCACGAGTTCCTGTCTCTTCTCCTGGTACAGAGGAAGGAAAGATCCTGGGACAAGGATGCTCTCCCTGCAGTCCAGGATAGCCAGACACGACCTGGTCTCAGTACTGTACTGATAGACATAGAGTGCACTTGATGTAAAACACCACACGCTACCTTGACTTTGCACAATGCCTTCAATTATTCCTTCCATGCCAGCAGCCACCTGAATCCCATCTGGCTCCAGAGTGATGTCATCCAACAAGATGATTCTCAACTTGTTTCCACAACCAACCCAGACTTCTGTTCCATCTGCTTCATCTCTACTGCCTCCTGTCCGTTCTCTTGGTTCAAGACTGTTCCTTCCTCCTCTCATTTTCCTGGCAGTAGTTTCATCTCTTCGTTCTTCTCGTGTACCATTGCTCTTTGCTGATCTGTTCCATACGCCATTGGCTCCATTATAGACCACTTCTTCATATCGTCTTCTTTGCTCAGCCATAGAGTCACCATTCTTCTTCCTGGATACAGCCACAATGCTGCTACAAGGTAGATTGTGCTTACTAAGTTGCATCCTGGTAACCAGTTTTAGATCATCTGTGATGTGATGACCACTATCTTCCGTTTCATGACTTAGGACGGTCAAGACCCCATTGGCTTGACCAACAAACAGCAAAGAATGTTCTTGTCCACTTGGCTGCATATTTAAAAAAAGAAAAGAAAGGAAATTCATGTTTCTCATGGTTTAAATATATTTTCTAAAGATGGGAATATCTTTTTTTTTTCATGGTCAACAAGAAGCTCCTAAAATATATTTTTGTTAAATTAAAAGAATCGCGCTAATAATAGAATCAGAAATCAAAAATCCAACTGATTGTACATATACACATGTGAAAAACTGAAACATGATTACTCGGAATTTTAATTTGGTGGATGAATTGCAAGTTTGCTTACACAAGAGGATCAGGTTAAATATATTTGATGAGGTAAAATAGTAATACCTCAAGGTTTGTTGTAACATAAAGATACACAGCAGCTTCTAAAACACTGAGAGTTAGGTTGTATGACGGGGAGAGGGGGAGGTTGTATTCGGCTCTAAACAAAAATAACGCTGTCCCTTTTGCCTCTGGACTTTAATTAAAATAATGCATCAAAAAGCACCAACCAATCCTATACTTTACCAAAATGTCTTACATAAGTCTTAAAGTTTTAAGAAATATTAAATTATATGAATTGTTTCAAATTACTTTTTCAAATTAACTGTCCGGATAAAAGATGTGCATTAATCTTCATTTATTACCAAGTCCCTCGCAGAGGACACAAAGCTGTCACTCCCCTGGGCCCTGGTTGCTTACTTACAAGCATACACATGTTTTCTTAGCAGTCAGGTAAAACCAACCGACTTACCTTCTGGATATAGTGGAGTGAGGTAGGTTGACCAGCCACTCTAGCTTCTACCAGAAGACTTGCATGAGAAGAATGTGACGACGGGAGATGATACAATTGAACACAGTCACCCTACAAACAACAATCATAGCTCAACTTTAATCTCAGTCAAGATATTGACACATACAACAATAGTAATATCAAAATTTTCCACAACTATAACAGCATCAGCACCTAAACCTAACAGTGATTTCCCTGGCTGGTTCATGCCTGACACGGTTATATATATCTCATACATGTACGTGGAATATGTTTGCAAACATGTTTTTGAACAAGCACATCTATTTGAAACCAGGAATCTTGTTTCGTAATTTAAACAAAAATGGACACAAAGTAATGCACATGTATTAGTAGTAAACTGCTCTACGAAAGACTGGTCAAAGTCTGAACAAAATGTGACAAAAAGTAAGAAAGTTACTAATTTTGTTGAGAGTTGCAAATGTGGAACATCAAACTGGCTGAATCATCACCCGACAACTTTTCTAATTGCTCCAACACACAAAATGACTAAAATGTAATTTTTTCAAAATGTATGATTCAGAAGTGTCTTTTCTCTTTTGAGGACTTATAATAATATGCAACCTGTAATGTATTTTGAGTATTGCCCTGAGGGAGAAGGCACTTACATGTAGGAGACAACAGAAATTAATCCCAAATGAATTTTTCAAACTTATGTTCCCCTCTTTTTGGTTCATTTCCGTACAAACAATATTTCGATTACATGTATTGTCGTTTTAATCGTATTAATTTCAAGATGACAAATTTTCTTTGTCTAAACATACCCACTCTTCCATTATAAGGGGAAAGGGTGGGCATTTCAAAATGTCTTTGTCACTGCACAGGATATATTAGATCTCTCTCTATAGCTAGTCACCTTGCAAATATTCTAGCTTGTACAAATTACGGACGAAATCATGGATTTTTATGACAATTGCTCCCTATCCATTTCCTACACTAAACTGATTCTTAACTTCAACCCCGGACCCACACTAAACCTAAACCTATAACCCTAACTCAAAACACAATTTAGAAATCAAAGTACAACCCTAGATATAACCATATACCTTTGATGACGTAAAAGCTGGAGCAAGTGCTGCATAAGCAAATGCTAGGTTTATACTGAAAACATGACATGATATCATCAAATAGAATATAAAGCTACATACCCCTGTCCCAACTACAATTTTAGTTCCACAAGGTGTAGCTATGGCAGTTCTGATCATGGGGCATTGGAGTTCATTCAGAAGACTAGATTTATAACAACCATCTTCATCGACTTGGAATGACCTCACTGATGTGCCTCGGCCTGATTCAACTATCAGATGAACAACCTTATCCTGTCAAAGAAAACATATAGGAGAGATGAATTCATATAATCTTTATATGCCACACAAATAATCTCCCTGAGCCAAATTGTCTAATGCAAGATTAATCTATAACATTGTTATAAGGGGGATTGTCATTCAGTTCATCAAGACTGAAATTAGGTAGTGATGCACAAAGCAATCATTCCATCACTTGGGGTCTACCGTTTTGTGCAAAATTGCACTTATGTCACATAGGCAAAGAAAACAACAGCAGAGTTAAAACATAATAATTCAAATCCAATGAAATGCATTGGAAATAGAATATTACACCAGTTTCCATACAGCTAGATGGCCTGCAGCAGTTGTCGAAGTCTGGATGTCAATTTGTTTCCGCTTAAGGTTCGGCTTGACCGTGTCCTTGTACCAAAGCCGTGGTCGATCAATCCCTCTTTCGCCTGCGGGAAGTTGCGAGAATAGTATTTGCTTTGGTAAACTCTCAGAGGGCATCCTGACGACATGGCCTGTCCATCGTATGTTCTTCCGGATATGCAGGTCCTCCATATATAGATGTTAGGGTGGCAGCTCTAGTATCTCTTTGTTGGTCACATAGTGCTTCCATGTGATTCTCATCATTGCTCGGAGTTTTCTCATCATGAATGCGTGAAGTTTGTTTATTGGACTTTTGTAGAGGGTCCAGCTTTCCGCACCGTATAAGAGAGTGGATAGAACGATAGTCCTGTAGATCTTACACTTAGCTCTTGTATAGAGACATGACGATTATTCCATAGCCTGGTTCGTAGTCTGCCAAATGCACTGCTGGCTTTTGACATTCGTTTCATCAGCTCAGAGTCGATGCGTCCGCCTTTACATATAGTGCTGCCAAGGCAGGTGAAGCCATCTAACTGGTTTAGGGCTTTCCCATCCACGAGGACCTCCTCTTGGTAGTATGTACCTGATTGGAACAGTACTTCCGTCTTTATTATTTGTAGACTGAACTTCTTTGATGCTGTTGAAAAATATATCTATGACATGTTTTTTATTTTATTTGTGTGTATCTATGACATGTTGATATCTGCTCTGGTGTATGGGCAACGAGAGCACTACCTGACATCTCCAAAGAGGAGTTCCCTCACGTGAATATGTGGAGACTTCGTCATAGCTTAGAAGTGTGCGACATTAAGGTCAGCGTCTTGAAGTGATTGTATGTATACACCCTCCTCAAAGTCCACAAATGCCTCATCCAGAATCGCCAATAGGAAGATGGAGAATAGCTTAGAGGCCAACACACATCCTTCTTTTACATTGTTACTTTATACAGGGAAGCTATCCGACTTTTCGCCTGCTTCTTTGATTTAAGCCATCATACCCGTGTGTAGTGACTCTATCATTCCGGTGAAATTCTCATGGCATCCATACTTCCGGAGTAGTTGCCATAGACCTGTCCTACCAACAATGTCAAATGCTTTGGTGAAATCTACAAAGATCACATAATAAAGATCGGTTGGGCTCGATACACTTTTCTATAATTTTCTGAGGCAGAAGATCATGTCTACTGTACTCCAGTTGTTTTGGAATCCGAATTGTGTCTCTGGCACTATATCTGGTGTTATGTGTGCATTAAGTAAGTTAAAAAGGATCCGTGTTAGGGTTAGGGTTATGGTAAAAGCTTTCCTTCTATCGACAATAGCCATATTCCTCTGTAGTTTCCTCACTGAGTTGTATATCATTTTTTGAAGATGGTGACAATATTAGCGTCTTTCCATTCTTGAGTTACAGAGCCTTCTGCCAATACTTGTATTGGCAGAAGTAATATTTTAGTTAGTGTGGCTCCTCCGTGTTTACATATCTTACTCGGTATCCTACTCCGGGGACTTGTCATCAGCCAAGGATGTAACTGCTAGGTGTAGATCTTCTCTTGTTGGAATATCATCTAGTGCAGTAACGATATAGCTACAGGTCGCTGGTTAATCCTATTACACGCCACAGGGGGGGGTATCTCCTGGTTTTTGAGTAGTGTCTCGAAATGCTGCTGTGAAAAGGTTGTGTTACCATCCAAGGACTTGAAATGAACTATTGTATGTCTTGACTGGGGGCCCCAGACTTCCTTTAGTCCAGTGTAGAAGGACTTCATGTAATTTGTTTGCCACGGAGCGCCGCATGTCCTCTGCTGTTTTCTTCCACCAGGTGGTTTTCAGTTTCCATGTGTACCTCTGCAAGTCATTGTAGTTATTCCGCTCCTGTCGTTTTTTTTTGTTGTTATTGTTGTTTACTTTCTAGCATACTTGGCACTGTCGACGGAAGTCCTGATCGAATACCGCGGTCCTTGTTAACCTGGGCGACGACTGAATCGGTATTAAGATTCATCATCATGAAGGCTGCTTGCAAAGGTGGGTAAGTACCGCGGTAGCTCTTGCAAATTAATATCGGCATCTTCTCGGGAAGCTGGTGTAAGTTCCACACCGGCGCGTCGCGGCGAGGACAGGCCAGGACGGGTATGAACCACTAGACCCTGCAGTGACTGGTCGAAGAATGTCGGGAGTTTCGTAGCGTCAATCGCCCTCGATGCTGTCACGGTGGCATGTTTTTCTGTTAAGGGGTATCTCTCTGAGCGGCGAATGCTTACAGGAACGTTGCGAATTAGGATTTCTGACGAATGTTGGTGAAAATCAGGGTTCGCCTTTGCAACATTTAGCGACGATTAGCAATATTTGAGCGAATGTTCGTAAAAGTGTTTGCGAAAAGCAGTTGGCGACTATTAGCGACTGTAAGCAAATGTTAGCGACAGTGTCAACGTTTGAGACCTTTCCCTAACTCCTGGTACTCAATGGGCCGATTTTATAAAGGAACCATATGGTAACGTGGTCGCTAGCATTGGGGAAACAAAGAGAACTGACGATAACAAAGAGCGACGCCGTCTTACAACCGTTTGCATTAACGGCTAACGGCTGTTTTGCAAACGCCTGCAACTGTTTGCGGACAAATACAAGATAAAGGGTTTGCGACAAAGAAAACTGTTTGCGAACTTTCTTGCAACCTTTTGAAACCTTTTACAAACCCTGGCGAAACCCCAAATTCGCTACGTTCGCAAGCATTCGCCGCTCAGTGAGATAAGCGGCGAATGCTTGTGAATGTAGCGAATGTGGGGTTCCTCTAGGGTTCGTAAAAGGTTCCAAACATTCACAAATAGTGGCAACCAATAGTCACCAACTGCCAACCTCGGCCTCCCCCCCCCTACTCAGTGTTATTTAAGGTACGCATATGCGTGTTCCAAGCACCCCCCCCCCCCCGTTCAGCAAAAGTCCGGTGTGTAAAGTCAATACGGGTCGACCTTTTTCTTTTGTTATACGAGCCTTTTTCAGCACCCCCCCCCCTTTCAGCAAAAGTCCGGGGTGTAAAGTCAATACGGGTCGACCTTTTTCTTTTGTTACGAAAAGGACATTTTGATAACACGCATGGGGTCCATCCGTTCTCGGAGTGGGGGGGGGGGGGGGCGGGCTGCCAACATTCGCAACGTTCGGAAGCATTCGCCGCTCAGTGAGATACCCATTTTAAGGGTTTGCTCCGTAATGGCCCGGTCTCACTATAACGTATAGCAGTAACGTATGCCGACGTATGTAAAGTTCACTAACACGCTAGTGCACGTTGACATAAGTTAGGGGTAGGTTTGGTGTAAGTTGTATACGTTAAAAGCACGATGGTATAAGCTGTCATACGTTGTTGTACGCAGAGGCCGAAATAAGTTTTAGTGCATGCTCAAAAATTTTGGGTGTATGCCGACGTCCTCTTCATAGGTTAGGCATACGTTAGGCATACGCTACACATAAGCTAGAAACCCGTTAAATACGTTAGAGGTAGATAAATCATACGTCGACATAAGTTGGCATGAAGGTATACATTATAGCTAACCTATATCTGACGTATCTGCAACGCATATTGACGTATGCAGACGTGTTCGACGTACTATGTCTGACGACGGAGTAAGTTATTAAACGTGTTTCCAGCGTACAACTGGCGTAGTATAGGCGTTTTTCAAAATGCATGTAATGAACGCGGTTCTGTAGAGATCAGCGCCGTATGAACATCACGTGATCTTCGGCAACACGCCGAGTGCGCTACGCATAGTTTTCTCATAAGCTACTCATACGTAAGGCATAGGTCGAGAACGCTGGACATACGCTGGCCATACGCTGTGATTCGCTGTCATACGCTGTCATAAGTAATGATAGGTTACTAATACTAGGTTAGACATACGATATGTATACGTTCAATACGTTATGCATACGCCCAAATTATTCATGCTGCAGAATTTTCGATGTTTTGGAGGGCGTATGCCGACGCGTTGACATTATTTCATGATTTGTTTGTATACGCTAGCTATAAGTTTCTCTAAAACGTCATAGTGTGACCGGGCCATTAAAGGGGGTATCAAGGGGGTGTTAACGTTTTGAAAGATAAATCAAGAAACATCAAGTTTCTAATAGTCGGTCTACAATTGGTATCTGGTAGAAGAAATGCTTGTATGGCCTATCAATCCAAAGATTGGGGGGGGGGGGAATATATCACATTCACACTGGAATAGTTTAACAACATATATGTGGTGCAATGTTGTCAATCAGACAATCACACCATTATGTTCACATATTTACACTCTCGGATACAGCTTTCACATAGATGTAGAGAGAATTTAAGATCAGCTGAAATTCTGGGCATTTTCAAATGAACAAACCCTGATTATTTCTGACTCATTGGTTACTGGTGGTGCATATCGATAGGATAGTTTATAAGAACAACGTTTGACAATGATTCTATCTAGAAAACGGATCTTGGAAATTCTCCCTCTCTGCTATGTTATATGTTGTTATCACATCTTGAGCTAATTGATGTGTAATTAATTATGGCTAGTCTAAAGTTCTTACCTCATCCTGTGACCCTTGACTGAATGCCAGAGAAACCACTTCTTCTTCTACCTCCACCACTCTTCTGAGACACAAGAAGCTTGGTTCTGATAAGAGCTGGAGAATGGTATTACCATGGGGTCTCTCTTTAGGTTTATCCTGCCAGCAGGATTCCATCAATGCACCCAAGGCAGGGAAGACTTGTCTAGGGAGCATCGTATACTCATGGAAGTTGAAGGTTGGTTTGCGGCCCTCGTTGACGGCCAGCTCAATCTCAATGCGACTGTGTTGATCATAGTATGGAACCAAGCCGGTCATCAGATGATAAAGAAACATCCCGTAAGAAAACCAATCCACCTGGTCAAATAACATCAACATCAAAAAATTAGCTCAATTTTTTTTTTAATCATGCATGATCTTCCTTAAAACTGACTCTTATGTGACGGTGCCATAAAAATGAGTAAATTTAATTTCTTAACTTTTGGATTTCCAATGAGTGGAAGCTACAGTGTACATATTCAAAACCAAAAACATCAAACCAAAAAAAGGGTTTAACCAATAAAAAATAAAAAATTATTAACTTCTTCCCAGTAATGACAAAATTGTAATAATTTTACAACTCAGCTAATCTGATAAAAAGTTAAAGCAAATATTACAAAATAGTAAACATCGCCGTATCAAAGGTTTTTCAAACTTCAGATGTTTTAAAGCCTATATGCATGCACTAGTTTGGCCAGGAGGGATTAGACAGCACTGCATGGTTACTGTAAGGTGATTATATCTCATCAAATCAGCTCTCAATTTAATAACAGAAGAAAAAGGGGACCATGGGGGACCAACGGGTACCTCTTATGCATTGTTGGCTATATAGAGGGTGCCAGTAGCTACACATAGTGCAGTCCCGGTTTAAAAGAATAAATTAGCTATAACAAAAAAGTCCATATGATCAGAATCACTTGAAATGTGATTGAGATTTAATTTGAGCTGAATTGCTAACATTCAATACTAAAAAAATTGGATTGTGGTATCAAGATTGGTACATCATAACAATTATGAATTAACAGCTGGTACAAAGAAATCTATGTGCATTTACCATATACTGATAATGATATGTGATTCTAGTACTTACCTTCTCATCAAACGTCTTGCCTTGTAGGATCTCTGGTGCACAGAACCCTGGTGTACCTGCCATTCCCATCGCACCCATCAAGTCATATTTCTTAGATATACCATAGTCTATTAGCTTGATATTCACATCTTCATTGACATCAGATGAGAAGAGTAAGATATTGTCTGTCTTCAGATCGCAATAGATGATGTTTTTGCTGTGCAGGAACTCTACGGCTGATGCAACCTGTTGGCTGATCTTGTATGTCAGCATTCTACTTAGAACAGATTCTAGTACAATGTTCCTCTTCACAAAGTGTGGCCTTGCAGACTGGTGCTCAGCAAACAGGTAGCTTCGGAGATCACCAAGAGGTGCGTAGTCCATTGCAAAGCAGATGTGTCTGATGGACACACCGACAAGATTGACGATGTATGGATGATCGAGTTTAGCCATGATTGCAACCTCGTTTCTCAGCTTATGGAAACTCTCCATCAACATGGCTGCCTCTAAAGAGTCATTCTCCGTTGAAGTGGATTCTCCCGTCATGTTCGACGTAGAGGAAGATGTAGATGCGCATGATGCATACCCTTCACTAGCAGAAGAGAACATCCGATTCTTTAAGAGTCGGGATGGAAGCATGGTCTTGGCTGCTACAGTCTCTCCACGGAACTTTGCCCTGAATACTTCGCCAAAGCCACCATGTCCTAGAGATTTTCCCGACACCATGAGCAGCGTGAATTCTTCCTGCTTGAGATGCCTGATGCTGAGGTCTTTCATGAACATGTCAGGTATAAGAACGGAAATTGGGATGGGCTTCTCCTTAGAGTTGGCACATGCAGTAATGTGAGTCTCACCACGGACACATTTCTGTGCCAGTTCCTCCACTGTGTAGCAATGAGGTAGATCCTCTGTCACAGGTTCAAAATCATCAGGTCCATGAATCACACAGATTGGGCAAGGGACCAGTCTCTGGATCTTGGGCTGAATGCTTTCATGGATTGAAGTACACAAACCTAGGGAAAAGAAAAAGCTGCTGTCAACTGATGCATGAAATTGACCATACATATTGTTTTATATCATAGTAAATTAGCCATCATTATGTTAATGTATGTTTATATATGATTGTAACGTTGTCATAGTTTTACCCCGTTATTTATCTTGTCCCACTTACTCCGTCTATCACCAACCTAGACACCAATCTAGTCTACGACACACCCCATCTATGACTCACCTGGATACCAGTCCTTGATAAGACCCTCTATCTGGTCCACCACGCATCCCATGGCAGAGAAGTGGCCCTCTTGGCAGCTGATGAGGATGTCCACTCCTGGAGACTTGTCAGTAGAAGGAAAGACCATTGAGCGCACCAGGATCTGTCCAGTATTGTGCCTGAAGAAGATTCCTTCCCTCCAGTAGATAGACTCTGTCTGGTGGAAGCTGATGGCCTCCGAGATGCTGCTCTTCCTTTGAAATCGAAAAATGTCATCATCTGTTAACCCTTTTAAAATAGGATTTATTTATAGGGCTAAATTGATCACATATTGTTCTTGTAATCGGTAACAATAATATTTCTCTTTCATTGCTACATTGTTGAAATGAAATTTAATGTTTCTAAAAACAATTTGCATTGGGCGAAAATGTTGTTGATAAGTTAAAAATATGACAAATTATATCGATTTTTTTTAAAGTGAGTTCAAGCAGAAATACCCTAACTACCCAAACACAACTTTGCATTAATCAGAATTCTATAGTAGCTGTGATATGAGGAGAGAAGGTCAACTTGACATATAAACTTATTCTTAACAGTCGGATCATGACATATAGTCACTTGAATCACTTTACCCCAGTAATAAAATGAATCTCATTTTAATCATGGATCAATTCCCATTGTTTATTATTATGAGACGATTCTAACCTCTTTGAAGAGCCGAGATTTCTCTCATTTCCTGCTGAACTAATCTTCTTCGTATCACGCATCTGAAGATCAGCAATAAGACGTGACACCAGTCTGATCCAGAATCCTGGAGGGAGATAGGGCATCTTGTAAACCCTTCTCAGATAGTGGAATGGTGCATCGCCTGTGTTGTGCGGTGACAGCATCACACCAGGGTTGTCACGAGGAAGGCGGGCAGGTACCAAATACCTTGATGTTTATGATAACAATACAACTGTGAATGGCTTCCATGCATACATATATCATTTTAGGTTTTTTTAGTCACTTTCTCATGGCTCTATGCTGTATCAGTCATCTATTTGTAGCTATTCCATTGTGAAATTTGAATCTTGTATCAATTGTGTAATTCAATTTTTCCAATTTTAGCTGAAGACTTTTTCAGATATGGAGCAGTAAATCATAAAGTGATATACGCTTCACACTTTTTTTTGTCTGTGCCGGTTATATATCTGAATGAGCTTTAAACTCTTTTTTTTTTAACGCAGACAAATAGTAAAACTATTCTTACGTTTATTTTCTTACTTCCTTAAAACCAGGATGATGAAAGTTAGAATATATTGTAATTTTAACAAGTAAATCAGTACTTGCAGTGGATGGTAAATATATATTGAACATGAAAAGGCCTGTTTTCAGATAATATAAAAAGTTAATCAATAGTTGACCAGAAAATATATTATGCTCCGGTTACTATCGAAGAGCTAATTGAACTCAGTACTGGAAAGTTTACTATTCATATATACACTATACTTGAGAGGTCAGATTCCTGTTCAAAAGCTTACTATGTCTTACCAGTGATGTGAGATTGGAACCACAATCTCAAAGCGAGCTAAGAGTTGAAGATACTGCTCAAACTTATCCTCTTCAATGAAACTCTTCTTACTCAGCTCTCTAAGGGTCTCTACATGGACCTTGCCTCCTTTAAGACTCCCTATGGGTAGCGCAGTCACCCTCTGTAACGTACAAGCTAGCCATACTGGATCAATGAAGTAGAGGTCATTCAAACCGTTCAGGTGGTCAGTGAAGTGAACAATGCTCCCGATCTCATGCAGGAAAAGGATTGCTGATGGACAAATAAAAGAAGTATGTATTTATGTCAGTTGAATAATAAGCAATTTTGGAAGACACATACATACACATTTACATGTTTTGGTGTATATTTAGGACTGGTATGTACACATCAACATGTTTTACATGTTCAAGGATACATGTATGTAGGAATATTACATCCCGAGGTCGATATGGAAATCGACTGCATAACGAGGACCCAAATAAACTAACCAGAAAGGGCCTCCACTTTTTAACAATTTACTGTGTTCTCAAACCGAGGACGTCCTTGTTTTTCAAGTGGTTGTCAAAGTGTAGGTTCAGTTCTTTCGAGTGTCCTCGGTACACATGCACAGTCACACCCTTGCACCCAGCATGCGCAGTCATATTATACATACAAAGGCAACCTCCACAGAAAGATAACATTATATTTGGCATGGATGGGAATCCAGTACTGCTGCAAATGTATATTGTTTGGAGTATACATGTATTATAAATAATCCGTATGTGTGCAAAATGTCAACTGTGGCTGTCCAGTGTGTGTTCCATTGGTCAACCAATGCTGATAAAGAGTTAACCTAGCTGCTTACAATGGATGGACAGCCTGTTACAGTTCTAGATTGACTTGTATTAAACCCATTCAGAAGAGTCAAACCCGCTACAATGATTACTTTAATAGAAATGCAGATGTTTGGACCCCAACTACACCTTGGAGTGTTTCACAAAGACAAATTTCATCTTAAGTTGGACTTGAAATATGGAAGACCGTTTATACTCCTGTCGCTCTCACCGTTCCTGGCATTGCGTGGTCTCTATGGGGATCTAGACAATTAATTTTTTTGACAGTTTATTATTCAAGAGAAAAAATAATCATAATTTTACCTCTTGTTCATGACTTTTTAGGGGCATAAACTGCCTATCATATAGTATAAGTCCAAATCAACAATGAACTATCAACAAATGTTACCTCCATTTGCCCGTCCCCAGATAGACTAATCGTTAGAGCTACCAGCGGAATGGACGGCTTACCGTATTTCAAGTATTGTCTTTTTGAAACACTCCCATTTGCATAGGCTACCAATCAATACACAAGAGAAGAAGTACATTATACAATATGAGAAGGCATACTTGTACATTCCTGCATGTGAGTAGCACTTCATGGGGCTAAAATCATGATAAATGAACTGAAAACACACTTTAGAGAATCCAGCACGATGATAGATTTTCAAAATTAAATGACGAAGAGAGATCTACCCACCTTCATCTTTGAATAAGTTGTCAGAAAACATTCCTTAAAGAATCCACTTCCATTAAACATTTTTTTACAATCAAATGTGGAAACACAGATCCCGCAAATCTTCTAAAAGTTGTAACATGAAAGTAATATTGAGTTACCTTCCTGTAATTCAATGGGTGTACGCAGTCCACTATCAGGTATGAGCTTTACTATATCATCAGCTAGCTCAGTTTTGGTCATGATTGGTAGAATAGGAGGATCGGCTTTCTGACGCACTTCAACCTCCTGCGATATACGCTTCTTAAGATTGAAGTATGGCTGGGGAACCTGGGCAGTAATAACATTCAGTTCTATTCATATAACACACTTTCATGCAGAAGAATCCAACTTCAACAGCAACAAAAGTCTTGCTATAATACCTTCAAAGCGGTCAATAGCCATAGAGTAATCCAATTTTGTCATTGCATTCAATCAATTGCTTTCAAACTAATGCATTAAAACAAATGAAGATGTTGGTTCACAAGCAAGTTTTTTCTGTTTAATCATAAAATTTGTATCAGTACATTGTTTTTTGTATTGCTTTCTTTGTGTAACACATCATAACCATATGGCAGTCTATGTTCACATACTACTAAATGCCTATAAATCTTAAATGTACCGAATGTATGTACGTAGTGGACAGTGGGGTCCCGATCTAGCTAGCAGCAACCTTTCCATCCATCTCTATCAAAATATTTACAAAGGCATAATCCACACATTATGTATTGACTGGTTTAATCTATCTTAGGTGGTAGACAGATTTTTGTTGGCCATGTCACACAATGCTTTTGATTGGAATGCACAGCATCTATAAGATTTCGGATATGAGTGCTTAATCTGTGTTGAAGATCGAATGGATAATCAATGTAATAAAATGATGACGTAGATCCTAATCAAATGATTGGTTGAAAGCATACATGTGACCATGCATTTTTATAACCTAACGCGAAATTTGGATAAATACCGGTCATTATCCTATGGTAATGACCGGTCACTGGCAATCACGTTTTGTGATCGTAACCATTGAGATTTATCGTTTTACTTTTAATCGCGAAAATGGCTGCCGCGGAATTTAAACCGCATAGATCAGTCAGATGTAGACCTAGAATTAATGTGCAGACTTTGAGATGAGGGTGATTTATCAAATAACAAGGATCCACGTCCAGGCGCGCCGGAAGCAGTTTGGGATTGGGGGGGGGGGCAAACATTCTAAGGGGCTCACCTTCCAGGGGCAGTGACGTAACGAGGAAATACGTTTAGAAGGGGGGCAGAAGAAAAATCTGCATAACATTTACCACCGATTGGCGGAGATTCCATGGAACAGAGCCCCCGTGGGCTCGTTTTTTTTTTTAGGTATTTAATAACGGTCAGATGAGCATCCAGGGCCCCGCCTTAGGGCCCTTGGTGGGGTCCAGGGGGCAGAGCCCCGGAAGCTGAGGGGTTTTTAGGTATTTAATAACGGTCAGATGAGCATCCAGGGCCCCGCCTTAGGGCCCTTGGTGGGGTCCAGGGGGCAGAGCCCCCGGAAGCTGAGGGGTTTTTAGGTATTTAATAACGGTCAGATGAGCATCCAGGGCCCCGCCTTAGGGCCCTTGGTGGGGTCCAGGGGGCAGAGCCCCCGGAAGCTGAGGGTTTTTTAGGTATTTAATAACGGTCACATGAGCATCCAGGGCCCCGCCTTAGGGCCCTTGGTGGGGTCCAGGGAGCAGAGCCCCCGGAAGCTGAGGGTTTTTTAGGTATTTAATAACGGTCAGATGAGCATCCAGGGCCCCGCCTTAGGGCCCTTGGTGGGGTCCAGGGGGCAGAGCCCCCGGAAGCTCAGGGGTTTTTAGGTATTTAATAACGGTCAGATAAGCATACAGGGGACCGCCTTAGCGGGCCCTTGGCGGGTCCGGGGGCAGAGCCCCCGGAAGCTCTGGTTTTTTAAGTATTTAATAACGGTCAGATGAGCATCCAGTGCTCCGCCTTAGAGCCATTGGTGGGGTCCAGGGGGCAGAGCCCCCAGAAGTTCAGGTTTTTTTTAGGTATTTAATAACGGTCAGATGAGCATACAGGGGACCACCTTAGCGGGCCCTTGGTGGGGTCCGAAGGGCAGAGCCCCCGGAAACCCGGGGGTTTTAGGTATTTAATAATGGTCAGATGATAAGGGGAGCGACCAAAGGGCCCTTGGTGGGGTTCAGGGGTGAGCCCCCATAAGCTCTGGAATTTTAGGCATTTAATTACGGTCATGAGCATATTTTGCGACATTGGCAGGTCACTTATTTTTTCTTTTTCTCTTTAAAAAACTTTTTCATAAAGTGAGGGGGGCTCGAGCCCCCGAGCCCGGCCGTTCTGCAGACCCTGACATACAGGCTTATCAATAAGCATATTTTTCGCCCGACTGTAAATTTAGGAATTTCTAATTTCCAACAAACGCATAAAAAGGTATGACTTCTTACAAAAAAATTGAGAAAAAATACCGGAAAATCATGTCATTTCAGCAACATTTGTAAATCACTGGTATCGAATAAAAATTACCCCCCCCCCCCCATCAGTACGCCAGCGTTCAGGGGCTCATGAGCTTTTCACCCCTAAAACAAAAAACTGACACGCTTTCCCATTCTCTCACAATATGTCCACGATATGCGCGCGCTAGTATAATAATAACCTCCATTGATAAATATAGGAAGCATGCGCAATGTTTAGGAAATTTAATTCCTGTTAACCTTCCTTTTCTTTGAATAAAATTGTTTACGTCATTTAACTCAGGTTTTTATTATTGTTATGTTCTTTTGGGTTAAAAATACAAACCATATTTACTCCTTTACTGTTTTGTTTTTTGAGGGGGGGGGGGCGTTTTTGGGGGGCAAAAATGCGTTTTGCCCCCCCCCCCTCCCCCCCTCACACTTTTTTGACTGGGGGGGGGGCAACTGCCCCCACTTCCGGCGCCTATGTCCACGTCATAATTTTATAAAAACAAATAATACACAGCTTTTCGTTCGGGCATTAGTAAAATTACCCACACTTGGTACCTTGTGTGGGTGATTCTTACTAATGCCCTCACTGAAGTGCATTATTTGTATATTACCATAATGGAACTTTACCTTTCTCCCAATAAGCTTCTCCACATATGCAGGTCTCGTATGACGGAACTCCATCTTCATAGCAGTCTCATAGATGACCCGTCTCAGCTCAGCCATACCAATGTTCTTAAAACCTCTAGCATCTACCTCAACTATCCCTGCAACCGATGGGAATCCTGGTCCAACATTCAGCATCTCATCAAGCTGACTCCGTAGGTCAACCATATCAACAGGAGAATTCTGAACCACATCACGATGGGTACCAACGATGACGATACCGAAGTCTGAAGATCTCGACTATACAGAATAAAAAAGGAATCAGCGTCAATTCATTGGAGGTAGGTAGAAGACTCGCTTGAAAATATATTATGGTATGTTTATGATCGAGAGACCAGAGTTCATACAAACGAAAGTTAAGAGAATGGTGAGACTAACTAGAGGTGATGTGGTCTAGTGGATAAGTCACCCGACTGCAGATCACAAGGTACGGGGTTCAAGTCCCGCCGCGGAAGTACTGTCCTTTGACAAGACGTTAATCTACATTTGCCACTCTCCACCCAGGTGTAAATAGGTACGTGACATGCTTGAGCGCCAGTTACTTTGGCAGCTCGGCTACAACCAGGGTAGTATGTGTAAAGCGCCATGAGCGCCAGAGTCTGGCTGATACAGGCGCTATATGAATATCCATATTATTAGTAGTAGTATTATTATTATCAACAGCAAGCATCTCAATCGGAGGGACTATAGAGTAATTGAAGACTGAAAGAAATAGGTACTGAAGTTTAGCTCACGCACATATGTCTTCATATAAAACCTAAGTGGTTCTAATTATACCATTTTACCTGGCAGGAATTAATCCCTTGAAATGCTAGAGCGCCATAATGCCAGCCGTGCTTAAGCAAGGGTAATAATCGGGAGCGCCAGGAGTGCCAAGTCTACCAGACAAGAGCGCTAAACAAGAACCCACTGTTATTATTATTTATTTAGAATTAACAGTATGGAGAAATATCAACTGAATGGTTTCATTCTTGACTCTGTCCTACGAAGACGATATAGTTTCAAGATTCCTCTGTTCACATTGATCATGATGTATATTTCATATGTATTGTAATTTATAGGTTTCTTTATAATTTGTGTGTTTTGTTTAAATATGTGATTGTTTTCTCAGTGAATTTTGTTTTTTATAGCGCTTAGAGACTTCGGTGGTAAGCGCTTTATAGGCACCGTTTTTATTGATATTGTTATTAATATAACATAACTACATGATCTAATTCAAACCAACAAACCAAAAGAATGAAAGCGTAAGAGTTCACCACTCATGACTTACACTGATATTGAGGAGAAGAGAGGAGAGTTTATGAGCTCCATCCATGCCTTCACTCATATCTCATACTTACACTGATATTGAGGAGAAGAGAGGAGAGTTTATGAGCTCCATTCATGCCTTCACTCATATCCCATACTTACACTGATATTGAGGAAGAGAGAGGAAAGTTTATGAGCTCAATCCATGCCTTCACTCATATCCCATACTTACACTGATATTGAGTAGAAGAGAGATTATGAGCTCCATCCATGCCTTCACTCATATTCCATACTTACACTGATATTGAGGAGGAGAGAGGAGAGTTTATGAGCTCCATCCATGCTTTCACTCATATCCCATACTTACACTGATATTGAGGAGGAGAGAGGAGAGTTTATGAGCTCCATCCATGCCTTCACTCATACTTACACTGATATTGAGGAGAAGAGAGGAGAGTTTATGAGCTCCATCCATGCCTTCACTCATATCCCATACTAATAGATAGAGAGTCTTAGCCGTCACAAAGCACTGATGAACATTCTCATACAGATCACCACCTTTCATATCCCAGGAAAAGAATGTGATTGCTGGCCCTTCCACTGTTTCCTTCTCCTGTGAACAAAAAAAAAAAGAAAAAAGGAAAAGACTTTGGGTCAAAACTTTTCATTTTCTCTGTACTTTATAAAATCTATTTTTTGCTACAGTGGTGGATAATTTTAACATAATATATACACATGACTGTGTACTGATTTTAATTTTTGTTGTTGGTTGGTTCGAATTTATTTCTTTTTAAATCATATATAACAACGCAAATTAAAATAATATTTACAGTGTAAAAATAGGTGTGAAAAATGGAAACTACTAAAAAGTTTGCATTTTTTTTTTTGAGGCGTAGTCCCAAAAGTATACACAATACAAAAAGCCAAATACATATTAAACACAATTTAAAAAAAGATAAAGAAAAGAAAATAAAAACAAACAAAATCTACACTCATTAAAGTTGATCTATTATCGTTCGGCATGCACTAAAAAGCAAACAAACACCAGCAAACATACGGGGGAGGGATGGTAATGGTAAGTGTACATCATTAAAATAAGGTTCAATTTCCATATCGATCAACATATAATTTGTTCAACTTGATATTGATAGATATCATAACTTCATCTGAAAGCCTGTTCGTGGATAATCCCCACGACAAGAACAGAAGTACATTATAGCCTTTATTTGCTATCTTCCTGAAGCAGAACATGAAGTGAATGCACAGTTAGGTTGAAAAGGTATTCTCTATATCATATAGGCAACTGCATTCAATGTACTTGGATCAAAGAATGAACTCTAACACGACAGGATTGACTGCTTCTTTAACTGGCTGTTCCAACATACACACAGTCTTTTCTGTTCATGATCCGCTTGTAATATTGTGCAAATATGTTTCTGACATACCAGTTTTATTATGTGAAGTTTAAAATTATTTATGAAGTATAAACAAGTTCATATTAATTACCTTTGAGAACTTTTCTTTCACCTTCTGAGTGAGACTTCTTCTTTTTCCTTCTATGACAGGATCATGTAGTTCCCATTCCGTGACGTGCAGAGCCATATCTGAGACACGCCCTCCTGTATCATTCACTAGGCTTCCTAGTAATGTTGTCTTACCACTCTTCTGTAAACACAATCGAGACACAGAGACATTGGATATCATTAGGCATAGGACAGTTAATCTTTCTAAGAAACAAACACAAAAATCTATGTGAATAAATATAACAACTAATTAAAGATTGAGGGAAATTTAAAACACCGTTGGAAAAAATAAATTTACTGACTAAGATTTTTTTTTAAAGTTAATCTAATCTACAAGGTCAATTCAGGCTTTAGTTTAAGTACCAGTACGCCCCATTGGATTTTCTTCTGAATGTGGGCTAATTGTTATTCAATTTTAATTTCTGTTTATGATTGTAAATTAAGCTATAAAATGCATGTCTATCATGTACAACAGAACATTTAACAAATTAAATTAAGATATGAACTGAACTTTGATTTTAAAAGAAAAGGATTTTTCTGAATAAGTAGTACAGAACTGCCAGCATTAAAATATATAGTAATGAAAAAAGGTCAAAATTTCTTAATTTCTTCTCTAATTTAAGCAGTTGGTGACTACAATGTATGTTTAACAACATCAAGAAAACTTATATTTAAAACTTGTTATCAATGATGATAGTTATGATAGTTGGCCTCTGCATTTATCTTGATTTTTTTTATTTACCTCCATACTTCCAAATGTTCAATTATATCAATGTATTCTTTTTTTTATTTCAGTTGTCCCATTTTATATGTAAATCAATGGTATTATATACTACACGTATTATTGTTGTTTTAATATTTTGAATTTCTGGGGGAAATTGAGATTAACCCACCGCTGGACCCATTATCATAAGCTTCATGCTGTGATAGGGCTGACTATCTAGAAGCTTCTCATGAAGTATCTTGAGAATCTGACCAGTCTTGCATCGTTCCTCTGGAGTCAGCTGACTGACCTCTGACGGAATCTGAATATCTAAGCCCTCGATCTTCAGATGGAAAAAATGCTTGAGAGTACTCAGAGCTTCTGGCAGCTTGTGAAGATCAGGATTACTTGAGAAGTAACATAAAAACAAAACAAAACAAAGAATGGCAGTGGGCTGAAAAGTGGTACAAAGACATAACAAACATTATCTAGAGGTCTTAAATGTTGCATGCATGTATATATATTCAATTTAGCATAACCTCTGCTTCAAATGAAATTTGAGACCACATTTTATATGAAAGTAGAAATGAGCATGCTAAATTAAAAGAAATTCTCTGTATAAAAAAAAGGCTTTAGCAATTATTGCTGTTCAAAAGTACTTAAAAGATTGGGTGACATTCAAATATAATTGATCCCGTTTTAATTGCAGGACTGCAACCAACTCATATTCTGTTATTCAAACATCTAAATAGATTTCATAGCATTTTAAATATTTTTTAGAGTAATTTACTCAGACCTGCTGAATAAGCTCCAATCTAAAATAAATCTTAAAATACCCATCTTGTGACACCTTCTGTCAATTATTAGTGAGCTAATAACAAGAAACAGTGGTATGTGACTTCTCCCAGCTCAGCACATGCTCACAAAAGAATTGCATATATTATAGTGAAGGGACTGTGCAGTTGGAGGATGGACATTTTTGTACTGCTCCTGGTAATATCGGATTGGATCTCTTCATGGTGATTTTAGTGGATTGTGGTCAAGCTCTGTATGTATGCCTTTCACACATGCATGTAATCTCTACAGTCCTGGGTATTCTTCTTCATGTCATTCATGTTTCAGCTACTTCTGCTCATCATTTATTTTCAGGAACACACATGTAGACTAGCTACATGCATGTATTGAATTGCAATTTTCATCAATCAGTACCTATCCTAGTCTATGTATTTGAGGTTTTTGTTGCTGGGTTACATATAGGCGTGACAATACTAAATTTAGACTTAGTTTGTGTTCTGGTGTCAGAAGCTCAATTCAATTAGAAATGGAGGTTCAGCACTAGAAGAACAAGAGCTGCCAAAATATTATCCCTAGTCCTGATAAATTTCAGAGATCACACAGTGCAACAAGTAGCACTAGTACAAACATCATTAGTGACTCTGAAGATATTAAAAAGAAGAACCAAGTACTCAAACGTGGAAACAAATCCAGAAAAGATCATTCAATATTTCAGAATTTGAGTGAAACATCTAGTTCAGATGCCAAGCATAAGACATAATGGACCATCTAGAGTGATACTAACTGACGATAAGTGTCAGTGTGAGAGGTGCAGCAAATGGTTTTGTCTACTATGCAGTTCACTTTCAATAGAAGAATTCATAGTGTTTGATAGGATCTCAGTTGATCACTGGTACTGCTCTTGAATCAGCGAGAACAAACCAAATAGTCGAGGAGAGATGTAATAAGTTTCTAGATGAGACAATGCAAAGACTTGACAGACTAGAAGCTATTAGCAACAGGCTCTGCACTCAGCTTGACACGGATATGAAGGACCTCAAAAAAAACTCTACATGAGGACATCATTACCAAGCAGAACGAACCCAAAGAAATCATAACTTCTACTCTACAGTCGATTATGAAGTATCAATAATTTATCACTGGTTCTTCTAACTGGATCGATTTACCAATTGAATCCCCATTGAATGCCCCCATTGAATCCCAATTCAATACCAATTGGCTTGATAGTTGATAGTTCTCTGTGGTCATGGAGGAATAGCAAGAAAAGGAGAAGAGGAAGGAGAACATTATCATACAAGGTATGGCTGAGTACAGCTCCGATGATCCAAGTGAAACGTTGTACCATGATAATGCTAACGTTCGAGCAGTATTGGAATACTTGGATGTGACCTATTTACGAGAGAAGATTTAGCCAATATTCCAAGCTGTGATCCGAGAAGAAATGTGGCAATCCTGGATAACGTTGAATTTACATAACCTGTTGTTAGGGAAGCAATCAAGAAGCTCAATCAGACCAAATCTCCTGGACCTGACAATGTACAAAACCGTATTCTGGAGGAACTTGTGGATTATATTGCTAAACCTCTCGATGTCAAAAGGTAAAGTTCCAACATGTTGTGAGGGTGTATGACACCTAATACACAAAAAGGATGACAAGAGGGAACCAAGTACTGTCCTGTGAACTAAACCAGTACTTTGTGCAAGATGATGGAATCGTCCATCAGAGATGTGATAATTGATCATATGGATAGCCATAAACTGTACCTTGACAATCAACATGGTTTTAGGAAAGGCAACTCTTGCGTCACATAACTACTCCATGTATCTGAAGCTTGGTACAATGAACTAGATACTGGAAGAAGTATTGTCATGTATATACATTGACTACAGTAAAGCATTTGACAATGTCCCACATCATAGATTGCAAATTTGATTCGTATGGTATCTCTGGTAATCTGTTGAACTGGATCCAGTCTTTTTAAAGTGGAAGATCTCAACAAGTGCTGGTTAACAGAATTAAATCTACGGAATCCAACGTTATGAGTGGCGTACCGCAGGCCTAGGGAGTGTGTTAGGGCCCACCCTTTTCCTAATCTACGTGAATGACCTGCCTGATGCAATATTCAGTCTAATGAATGTAAAGTTAAGCTCTTTGCAGATGACACCAAGCTGTACTCGTCAATTACAAACATCGACGACGGAAAGACTCTTCCATCAGAACTAAATAACCTTCTTTCCGTGGTCTAGAACACGGCAACTCCCTTTCAACATTGATAAATGCAAAGTCATCCATTATGGGAGAAGTAATCTTTGTCATTACACAATGTATGATGTGAACAAGCCATTACCTGCAGTTCAACATGAAAAAGTTCTGGGAGTAATATTTGATGATAAAATGTCTTTTTCAAATCACATTGACACTGCTTGCAATGCTGCAAATCAGAAATAAGGAATCATCAAGCGTACTTTTCCAACTATGGACAACAAGGGACTCACACAGTTATATAGGTCAATTGTGAGACCAGCACTAGAATACTGCTCTACCGTTTGGCACCCTTATATAAAGAAGAAACATATTCTCAAAGTGGAAAAAGTTCAAAGTCGTGCAACTTAACTCCTTCGACCTCTCAGAATCCCTTAGTACAAGTTACGGCTAGAGCAACCAAATCGGCCTTCATTATCATGTAGACGTCATAGAAGCGACATGCCGCAGGTATATAAGATAATGCATGGAATCGACGACCTCCAGTCAACTAATTTCTATTATCGTACTAAGTACTGTCAAAGTAACTAAAGGTCACCAGTTCAAACTACAAACGAAACACGTAAATTCTAAATTGAGGCAGAGCTCTTTTTTCACATAGAGTAGTAAACGAATGGAATGGTCTCCCATCATAATGTAGCAGAAAATTCATCACTCAATCCTTTTAAATCAAATCTTCATATGTACTGGTCACTGAAGAAAGACAAGTTTAATCCTAATGAATTATTCAACTGTCCATGTACATCCGTAACTGCACAAACAAATTAAAGAATAACCTATTAGCGGACACCGAGGGGCAAAAAAGTTTTGTTAAACTTTATGCCTACTTCCAAAATATTATTCCAAGGTATGATTCATGAATACCTCCACGTTATCTTTCTTTTCCTAGTGATGCTACAGCACGTGTGACATAACAACTCCTATATTGGTATTGGATAGTCTATTGTAAACAGGTGGTCAGCTCTGGTGAAGCTACATACCACTGTCTCCTGTTAGCTCATTGATGATTTGGCAGATGATGTCACAAGATGAATGTGATCTGGACCATTTTTTTACGGTGGAGTTTATCAGGTCTGAGAACTTTATTTTTTAAATATTTAAAAATCTATTAGATATATTTAGACATTTTAATTACAAAATATGAGTTGTATTCATCCCTGCAGATCAACAGGAATTAACTTATATTGGGATGTCAACCGACCTTTAAAACCAGAAACTTTGGCAACACTAAACTGATGGTCACTTTCAAAGCAAGAAACTTAAAACGAATTTTCTAAAAAATTTGCAGTTTATCAACTGTGATTCAATTATGTCCATGAATCTCTACCATTCACAACATTTGCAAACATTTTAAAGCAACCATTGTTTCTGGTTTTACATATAGTATAACGCATGTTACTTTTCCTCAGCCCCAAGGAAACACTAGCTTCTACTCTATTTGCTCACCAGCTGATATCTAGATCATACAATGCCTCCAGCTTACAGACGCTCGGAGGCACATCCTCTAGAGCATTGTGGGAGAGCTTCAGGACAGAGAGACTGTGCGCAAAGCATTCTGGGAATTCAATCTTCTCCAATTCTTCCGGACGACTGCTGCCACCATCGGCGTAGAATTTCACAGCACCTTCCTTCTTTGGTTGAGGACTGGTTGGTGATTTGGGAGGAGTGTCTTTCTTCTTGTACATCACAGAAGATATCTTCACGGAAGGTCTCTTAATAGAAGATCTTTTAGGACTATTGAGATATAATTCAGGAGAAATTTAATGCATATTCTCATTCTCATAATCCTTACGAAACTGTTGGAAACTTAAAGAAGTGCACAATTACATGGATGCTTTATTGATTTCGCACAAAAACAAGTAATGTTGTGTCATCGCAGAAATGTGTGAAAATCACTAATTTACAGAATGCCTCTCTCTGAATTACAATCTCCTCATCTACATGTATTTAAATGTATATTATTCATCGTAAAAAGACATTTCATCACCATGTTACTTTGATTTTCAAATACACATGTATATTTAATCTTTAAAACAAAGTGGTATTTAAGTTGATGATTGACAAAATGTAGTTGGGTTGCCTTGGTTATTTTAATTCATGCTTATCCTAAAGCTATTTATTGTTTTGTATATATTTTTCAAACTTACATGTAAGGTGGTCTGAGTCTGTATTGGCATCAAATTATCAATACTACATCTTACTCCCTTTTGAACCATTAAATTGGTCTATTTTCATTATTGAGTACAAACTCACTTGTCTTGCTTGGTCTGTGGTTGTGCCTCTTTATGCATGAGTTGATTGTGAGCCAAGTAAAGATGCTGAAGCTTGCATATGCTCCATGTTCCTGGTAATGGAAAGCAATGGAGTGCATTATGGGAGAGATCCAAGCCCGTTAGACTGCTCAACTGACAGATGGCAGTGGGAATCTCTGTCAGACGGTTGTAGCTCAAGTTGAGGAATCGCAATGTACGGTGCCAGAACCTTGGTAGGTCACCCGAAACGGACTGGACCATGTTCTTAGACATGTTCAGAATCTCCTGTAAGAGTCAAGTGAGCAAATTAAAGTAATTATGCAATAAATGTGGAGTGCCAGGAGTGTTCAACTTTATTGAAATTAACATGTACACTGCTTTACTCGTGGCCCCCATGATACCAAACTAGTTCTCATTACGTTATGGAACCGTCCTAGAAAATCATTAAACGGGTTGTGGTCGGGGTAGAGTGTGTAAATGATGTCTATAATACCATCCTAGTTCGTTCATAAACAGTCCTCAATACATCCATCTCGTCTATAGGCTACCCCGTCCACAGTCAGTTCATATCAAGTTCAGATCGGGTAAATTTGCCATTTCCAGGCAGTCCAAGCCAGTCCGTAGTCAGTTTATACCCGTTATTAACTGGTTCTACCGGAATCATAATGTCAAGTTATAATTTAGCAACAAACTAATTTTGAGTCCAGCAGAATAATTTGTTGGTGCTTCAAGTACCAAATCGATCCAGCTGGTGAAGTCATAATGAACTAAGATGCAATGCCAGCTTATTGAAAACTTTTCAAGTACATATTATAGATGTTAAGGTCTAGTTAATAGGTTAACCGACTGCAGATCGCAAGGTACGAGGTTCGAGTCCCGCTGCGGGACTAATGTCCTTTGCAAGACGTTAATCTATATTTGCCAGCATCTACCCAGGTGTTACATGTTACATGTTACTGAATAGGAAAGAGAGAAAGAGACTAAGATAGGTAAAGAAAGAGAGGGGGAGAGTATATTGAAGTGCAGGAGACAGAGAGAGAGAGAGAAAGAGGGAATGACAATACAATAGACAGAGAGAAAGAAAGAAAGGAAGGGGGAGAAAAGGAGAGAGGGGGTTGGGAGAGGGGGCAGACTTACCAGTGGACATGTCCAAGGTTTTGGTATCTCATAGAATGAGTTATCTGATAGATTGATAGTGATAAGTGATGTACAAGCATCCATCTGTCTCGGGAGAGAGCTCAGTTTGTTTTTGGAGAGATTCAGATTGACGAGAGACATGCAGTTCCATTGTCTTGGGATCTCATCTTAATTAGAAGAGAAAACAAATGATACAGAATTTAAAATGAGAAGCAATGACGGACTCAAAATAGGATGACTCACTGACAAATATAGTCATTCAAAAAATCAATGGATTTCACATACTTCACGAATACATATATACATTTATACAATTTTAGATGATTAATTGTAATTAAGAATCATTTTTGTATCAGTGCAATCCACCAACTATCCATTTTGTGATGAAGAAATCATGTACCTTATCTCAATCTGTCAAGGAATTATCAGCTAGAACACCTAGAATATCATTACTAATGTCAAAAAAGCTTCTTGCCTTGCAAGTCCAATGTGTAATATGTTTCAAAAAACATGATTTGACTACATTTGCATACATAGGAAAGGCTTATTCCTTTTACCTCTCATTTTTAACAATTCCAATTTGATAACAAAACAACTTTTAATGCATACTGAATAAATGTACAAATTTCTACCCCAACTGACTGAGCAAATTATTTAAAATTATCTATTCAAAGGGGTAAATCAATAGGTACATTGTAGGCATTGCATGGTTTTGGAGATAATGAAATCAAACTTACTATAGCAACCCTGCATATACAAAGATTACCTCTCTATAGAGGCCATTTTTGTTTTATATGTGATTTAGATTGAAAAACATATTACATAATGACCTGTACATAGTGACTACATACACGTAAAGCTCACTCTTCTTGTCTCCCTTGGGTGGTCTATATATGAGGCCCTTAGATGGTCTTTGAGGTTTCACTTTACTTACTCTGTGTGGATTCCTTAGCAGGTTGTATAAGCTCTGTCATGGAATTGTTGGCGAGGGACAGGAACTCTAATTCTTGTAACATGAACAGTTCAGCTGGTACAGACACCAGCTTATTCTGATACAGGATCAGAGTCTTTAATCTGTATAAGACATAATCAATAATACCCATTCTCAATCATTTCATAACTAATTGCAGATATGCAGATGGACGTTGAATTTGTATAACACTTTGAATAAACAATATCCAAAGTGTTAATGACATTAGCAGGACGCTAAATGTCAAATAAAAATACCAGTTTCTAATTATATAGCACTTTTCCATTAACTGACCAAGTACATACGGTTTTTCTATCACCAAAGGCACTGAATTCAATTACTATTCTGCACATTACAGTGCACATTCTCCACTCCCTGGTGATTATTCCAGCTAGTCACCTTTTTACGGGGGCGCACATGCTAATCCAACCAAAAGTTTTTATCAGCTTGCATAGAATTTGTTGAACAATAAACCCAATAAACAAAATCACGTGAAAATCACGTCAATATCAAGGTATCGACTTGAGGAGAGTTACGTTCTTCAAACTCCTGACATTTACGTAAATGTGTTAATACGTTTATTGCACTAGGTAACTTAAAACGCACGTACACTAAATCACGCAATTGTCACTGCAATATCACCATTATAATAACGTGATTATCCCTACCTTGGAGACCATGGTTTGTAAACCTAATACTCCCGTGTTTGTTTGGTTATGAAATTACATCTTCATAAACGAAATTATCGCGTCACAGAAACACGTGAAGCGTTAGTGATAGTTTTAGTCAAAATATCTGCGTGAAATTCACGTGAATATTACGAGGCTGACCTGAGATGAATCATGTTCTTCATTCACGTGAAATTTACGTCGAAGAGGAAGTATGTTACTGTAACCCGCGTTCAACCAAATAATTACGCAAATGTTACACAATAAATTAACCAAAATAATAATAATCATCCCGTTTCTGAACATCGTGTCTTGGATCTTCCATAATTACGTCCAGGCGCGCTGGTAGCAGTTTGGGGTTAGAGGAGGTTGGGGGAGGGGGGTGGGTGCAAACATCCCAGAAGAGAAAGCTAGTTGCAACTGGTCCAGTTGATGAACCATTTAATGCCAACTGGTAATTCTGGAAATTGAAATGGGCTAAATGATCCAGTTGATCCAGGCCAGTTATACTTCAACTGGTCTAGCTGAGCCATTAGAACCATTTGGTTAACTTCCAACCAGTTGAACAGCAAGAATACTTCAATACTGGTACGTCTGTATTTCCAATTTAAAGGCATTGGTAATAAGTAGACTTACATAATTTAATTAATCGAAAAAAATTCGTATACTTGTACTTTATTGAAATTATTTTAGTTCATAGTTAATGTTTCCCTTATTCATGTTTAACTAAATGTAATTTATACGAAGTAGCGAAATGTCCTAATAACTGGTAATTTATATTTGTAGTATTTTCGAAATGAATTGCATATAACTAATTCATCAGTAATTAAGAAATATGCTGTAAATTAAGATAAATTGTTTAAAAAACATAGATCTGCACGCACCCCATTTTCAATATGCAAATTAACTGGTGTCAGCTGGTTCAATTCGAAATATGCCAACACTCAGTCATCAACCGGTGCAACTGGAAATATGCACACTCCAGTTATCAACTGGTGCAATGAAAATATGCCAACAGTCAGTTATCAACTGGTGAACATAGAAATATGCCAACAGTCACGGTATTATCACCACGGAACTTAAATGGTAACTGTGAAACCATCAAGACATCCGAGAATAACTCATTTTCACACCTGGCAAACACGGAATACCCAGCTTATATAAATAATCCGTTTGAGTCACGAGATCATCACCGCGGAACTGCTGGCAACGTTGACTACCATTTAAATAGGTGTTTTAAGACACCTAATCATGACTAATTTATTCACACCTAAAAGTCACGTATGCCCAGCTTAGATTAATATTCCGTTTAAGTCACGAGATTATCACCGCGGAACTGCTGGCAACTTTGACTACCATTTAAATAGGTGTTTTAAGACACCTAATAATTACTAATTTTTCACACCTACATATCACGGATTCACAGCTTAGATTAGTAATCAGCTTGAGCCACGTGATCATAACCAAGAAATTTATGGTAACTTTGAAACCATTTAAAGAGGTGTGTAAGACACCTCCGAATTACTAATTTAATATAACCAGAGATTCACGGACAGAACAATAAGACGATTAGCCGGTGTAAGTAACGTGATTACTACCATCAACCTTGGATAACCTGTGAAACCAATCGATAAAGGTGCTTACAAGACCAAATAATTACGTATTTATCGCCACCATCGGTTAACGGACAAAAAACTCGTTGCTTGGTCAAGTGGTTATTTGGTCATAAACACTTTATTAACAGAGGTAAGTGGAATCACGTTACTCCAGTCGCGTGATAAACTGGTGGTTTTTAGGTTATATGAAAACGTGAACAGGAATACCTTTTTTGTTTAAATGAAGGCACGTGTCGATAACGTTTAAATCTAGTTCAAAAGGCACTATACTTTAAAATCACTTAAAATACACTCCCAAAAGAGGTTACTTTTTAGTGTTCTGTTTATTGGGAAGCCAGTTCAGGTATCAACAGATCATATAGTTGCCAGCTGGTCACAACACTACAAGGAGAGCCTCAAATATGCCAATCAAAATTGTTCACTGCTGCTCAGATAATGTTATAGTACAGTGTGAGTCAACAAAAAGTTTACACCTAGAAAGTTGCTAATTATTCTTAAAAGCATCTAAAAACAGTAAGTTAGTATACATCTTATGAAAGAGTGTTTTATCCCAATTCATTTGGTATCGTCTGCGTGTGGTATGTGTTAACGCTTGGATGAACAGAAGACATTGTTTAAGAGAGTGCACAAATCGACTTGCGCCAAAATAATTGGGATTCGGTCTTTGCAGATCCAAATAACATCCATAACAAAATCATGCCACACATATCAAATACCAAAGAACAATTTTGCGCGTGTGTGTGAGTGCGTGACTTTGCTTCTGAAAAAAAGCATATGCAATGCATCTCTTTTGATACATTCTCTCACTTTAATACTTTTGCACAAGTCGAAATTTGCACTCTCGCAAACAATGCCTCCTGTTCATCCAGGCGTGAACACATATCACATAAAAATGATACCAAATGATTTGGGATATAACACTCTTTCGTTTATAGGTGACTTTTAAAATAAATGACAATTTTCTGAGGGTAACCCTTTTTTTTTTTTTACTCAAAGGCACGGTATATGTATCACTGATCGACAAAAACAAAAGTAATTATAGACATTTATAACACACGTGGCAAAGGAAATTTGTGGAACACTCAAAGTAATGGTTTGGAAGTGTGCACTAATATTGGAGAAAAGCCACATTGCACGACACAAAAATCAAATAGATCTAAAAGCAAGCCTTACCCTACCTGGCTACCAGAACAATTTTTTTCTAAAGAATAACAAATTAAAAGGAAACAGCACCAGTCATTACTGCACTGTTCTCTGTTAGTTTAGGGATGAACTCAAGCCAGCACATACATGTCTGCCAATTAAACGATACGGTTAATCTCTCAGAGTTTAAGGCATCATATTATTTATAAAGCAACTGATGACAAAATAAAATTTAAAACCATAGCATACCGACACTCGCTCAAGTTTCGATGGCTTTTCGGGGACGGCAGTCTCTGAATTGAATTCTGGGATAGGTTGAGATGACGTAGATTCTGTAAACCCCATAGGAGACCCTCTGGTACAGAGGAGAGAGAATTCTGGGAAAGATTGATGGTCGACAGGACTTGATGGGTTGAGTCTTGAAAACCCTGAAGCCACGATGGGTCAAAGGTATTGAGCTGCTTGTGGTGCCAATTTGCAATGAGTTCCTACAAGGAGAATGTAGATTAAAATAAACACCTAATATATGAATCTATAAGTAATGGTTAATGGTACTAGCTTTTCCATCCGAGTGAATTGAAACCTTTCTTAAACAGTTATCAAATTACATTATGAAGTAAACTCAAATGATAACAATTATTTAATGAGGTAAAATTCAGAAAACTATTTTACACTCAACTCCCTCACAATACCTAGATGGGAAGCCAAAATGTTAGTTCCCCTCCCTCAATAGTTTGTGCTCTAGAAAGAAGAAGAAACAAGTAAAAAAAAAATAATTTAAAAAAAAAAGAATGTGTTATCGATCAAAGCCATTTCCATCAAGTCTGGTGTCGGCGAATTATGACCTTCTGCACATGGAAACTGACGACCCTCTCCCTTTAATCCCACTTTAATCTCCCTTTTAGTAATTATGTAACAGTTTTCCTACCTTTTTGTCGTTGTCGGTATTAGTGCTGGAGTCATCAGGTACAACCCATTTCTTGAGGAGTGGCAAGATATCAGCGCCCATCATATAGACTGCTGCTTCATCAATGCTAACTAAACCTCTCTCAATCAGATCTGCTACTATGCTGTAATGCCCACCTAAACCATGTTAAGTAAAAGAAGACCCACTAAGGTATATGGTATAAGGTACCATGATGCTCTTTCACTATACTCAATCTTAATTCCAGTCAAACAGCCGGCATACAGGAATAAAACAGATACATCCCCCCCCCCCCCCCCAAAAAAAAAAAAAAAAAAAAAAGAGAAAACATAAAGCTTGATCCAGCTAGGTTGGGTGATAATCCTAAAAGTTAGATTCCAATCAACATAAAATCATTGAATAAATCTTCGAATACCCAACACAACGGGTTATTTGGTTTCTGTTTTCTAGTGCTCACTTCTCATTTCAGACTCTGAAGGTAACAAACCAGTTTGTTAAAGGGGAATCTAACCCTAAAAGCAGCAAATATAAATAAACATACTAGCGAAAGTTTGAAAGAAATTGAACCAAAAAATGTGGTCACATGTGAATTATACGATAATATGGAGTGCTTAATCCGCAGAAAAAGCTCTAATTTTTTAAAAATACAATATATTGTATTATACAAATAATACATAAAAGTAAGGGCATTAGTAAGAAATACCCACACAAGGTACCTTTGGAACAGTCTAACACGCCCGAGGCGGTATAGCCGAGGGTGTTTGGACTGTTTCGAAGGTACCGAGTGTAGGTAATTTTACTAATGTCCGAACAAAATGATGTGTATTATTTGTTTTATAAAATGATGTTTTATAACATGAAATTACGTGTTAGGCAGACTATAAATGCATGGTCATGTGTACGTTCGATCTCAACTAATCATTCGATTGTGATCCGCTTCCTCATATTTTGTTTACCGACAAATTGTTCATTCCCACATATTTGAACGAATTTCCAGTTCCACTTGCTCTTTGGAGCTCACAGGGATTTCATGCTTCATTGGAGGGGGACAAGCTACGTCACGTCAGACCAGCAGACAAGTGCGATTGTGTAGAATTTGAAGCCAATTCAGGTTTTATTCTGACTAGAAGAATTAAATGCACGAAAATTATGGTTCTCCATATTCTCATCATTATTTAGAACCTAAATCAGAAGGACAGTGGTTGTTTAGACATCTATATTAAATATAACTGCCTTTTCAATGAAAATCGGATTGCATTGACAATCGTGTAGTGTGCGCCAGGATTGTTATCCTGTTCAAACTGGAGGAAATTTATACAACAGTCAGAAACATCTGAAAACTTTTTGTACAGGTTGTCCAAGAAAAAACAAAAACGAGGATTATCGATGTTTCATCTTAATCACAATTATGATTGATAAATGACACATATTTGTAAAGCTTAGATCGTCCTCTTTCATTTTATGCAACTCATTATGATGCATATTTGACACATGAGTGACAAAATACAATTTGAAAATATTCATTTAGCGAACGGTATCTGAATTTCAAAAAGAAAATCACTTTCCAGAAATTTCATTTTCTGCCCTTTCATATGACACCTCGATCAGGAAGAATGAGCCAGGAATGACAAAGTTCTGCTTGTTTAAAGTAATGCTTGCATTCAATAGACGAATTCGTTTTCACTGGCTGTCTGCTGTAAAGCAACAGACAGCGAACTCCGTTTCGTTTTCCAGCAGCCTTGCGTGAAGTCTTTAGTCTTTTGTGTTGTTCGGGCAGACAGCCAGTGGAACGGATTCGTTGTATACATTTTTTGAAACGCACGCATTACTTTAAACAAACAGAACTTTGTTATCCTGGCTCATTTTTCCTGTTTGAGGTGTCATATGAAAGGGAAGAAATGAATTTTCTAAAAATGTGATTTTCTCTTCGAAATTCAGATACCGTTCGCCAAATGACTTGTTGGTATAGCTTTCTTCAAATTCTTTTCCATGACTCATGCGTGAATTATGCCTTGCATCAAATAAAAGAGGAGGATCTAAGCTTTAAAAATATGTGTCATTTATTGATTATAATTGCGATACATCGATAATTCTCGTTTTCGATTTTACTGGGATCCACTGTATATTGTAAGGGGCCTACAGACTAGATAACAACATCGTATAAAGAAGCGTTGTACTTAGAAATAGTTTTGAAGAGACACGGATCATTTTATAGACAACAATCATTAGAGTGCACTCTGGATAATTTGATATTTTGATAAGTTTGAAGCGATGTTCAAACATGCACTTCACTATACAACATTTCATATTTGTTTGGCTTGGCTCTCTGCCGGTCTCTCTCCCTCTAAAATTATCTCTCCCCCACACTCACGCATTCTTGAATTGTGACAACACAATCATGTTATGTCATACCTTTTTACTGTAGCACGCATGCTGTACCCTGGTAATGATTTTCTTTAGGTCAGGTATCATATTTGATACATTGTTTCATAATATGAATAATTCATTTAATTTAGTGATGTTCACATAAGACTAAAGTATTATTGGTTGCCACCAGAAATTAAATTTTAGAAGTGTTGAAGCTCTATTAAACAAGGAATTGCCTAATTTGGAATGTCTCATTAGTGTATTTCAGTACAACTGCTCAATAATTATTGACATGAGGCATATGAAGTAAACCCTAGCAGCCCCCGCTGCGTACAGTCATGGTTCAGTGACAAAGCAATGACCTCGTAACCGGGAGGCCTCAGGATCAAAACCGTATCGATGGGCTATATTAGTGCCCTTTTGTGGGGCATTAACCCTCATTACTGTCATTTATGACTTAAGGGCGTAGGTCCCCTAGTTGATAAGCATAGTAGCATACACATGTTTTAGCAGTCACGCAAAACACACATTGTTAAATTGTTATTCAATAAAATCTGAGAATGTTTACTATTATCTAGATCTATTATTTTTAAATTATTTTTTAAATAATTCCATAAATTCGGGTAAAACCAAAATATTCCAAATTTATGAGCGACAGTGTAATATCAGACTCTAATATATCACATTCTCAAGAAACATAAATTGGGACAATTCAATTTTTCACATATTCAAACAAATCACAAAATTTGGTAAGGTTGTATGAATTATTTTGTTACAATGTATTAACTGTATATTATGACGATATACAATTTAGATGATGTTTTTACCTTGACATGCAAACAGGAGTGGATTGGGTTCATGTTGCTCGAAGAGTAGATGCCCATGTCTTATCAGTTGATCAAACCAGTAGTCTATAATTTCCTTCTTCCCTGCCTTGCATGCACGACAGACAAGGAGTTTCAACTCGGCAACATCCTCTAGTAGTCCTGAAGTGTTGCGATGAAAGGAGTAGAAGGAGATGGAGAGGAGAGTGTTAACAGATGAATGAATCATGAACCAAAGAGATAGTAAAAACAAAGGAAGAAAGACAATTAAGGGTAATAGTTAACAATAAGAGGGAAGAAGAAGAGAACGGGGAATTAAAGCAAAAATCTGAATGGCACATGTATTAATTACAACTAAAGTAAGTTCTATTCACACAATGTCCGCTGAGAGCAAAAAGGAGTTAACTCCTTCACTTTTAGATGGGAGTAATACTAAGATATTAATATGGTGAATTAATTCTCACACCAAAATGCCTACTCTGGACAGGAAGACTCTGGCGATTCAATAAGTCCTACCAACATGATGTGCCAGTGACATTAAGCAGGCTAGTATTACCTACCAAGTTGCACATATATGTGCACAAGATCTATTTTGATGTAAGTGCGCTGAATTTGAGACTGCCAGACAGAGACAAACTTAACATGAGAGGAGAAACAGAGAGACAGCGACCGATAGAGCGAGGCAGAGGAAGAGAGGGTGCGATATATAGAAAGATAGATATATATATATATATATAGAGAGAGAGGGAGAGGAGAGAGAGAGAGACAGAGACCGATAGAGCGAGGCAGAGGAAGAGAGGGTGCGATATATAGAAAGATAGATATATATAGAGAGAGAGAGAGGAGAGAGAGAGAGAGGGGAGAGAGAGAGAGAGGCAGACACACACAAAGCCATAGAGATCGAGTAAGAGAAAAGGAAGAATGATTCAATGTGTAGAGAGAGAGAGAGAGAGAGTATTCCCAAAAAAAAAAACCAGAGAGAGAGAGAGTATTCCTAAAAATCCCCTAGAGAATCAAACAATCAAACGAAGAAAGACAGGGGAAGAGGCAGTATAGGACCAAGAAACACACATACACAGTGAGAAACGTTAGACTTTCAGTGAAACACACAGACAGTCAGACATAGGAAGAGACAGAAAAATACAATTGGCGAGAGAAAGAGACAGTCAGATGGCGTAACGAATAGTACGACACATAATCAGTCACAGAGACAGAGACTTGTGTAGTACGTAATACATAATAAAAGACAGGCAGTGAAAATACAACAATTTACCTTCATCTATTTTCACCAGTTCAGTAATAATGTTGAGATGACCCTCAGTGGTAGCTATTTCCAATGCACTTCTACCCTGTATCAAGCAAACATACCAATGTTACGGTCCATATTTCTCTTATAAATGAAAGTAACTTCATCATTAGAAGTATAGTGGAAACCTAACCTTGACAGACCACATCTGTATTAAAGCATGTATTAGTGAAATATAAGTTCTCTCTCAGTTTCTCACATGCTGATTAACAGCTAAACAGTAAATAGTTCTTTCGATGGTCAAACAAGTATTAAATACATCTTCAATATATACAGTAGGTTTGCGGTTGCACCATGTGTGTGAGAGAGAGAGAGAGGTTTGAGGAGTCCTGAAAAGGACTCTGACTCGGTAATCTTTTTTGGAGGAGTGTAGTCCTGAAAAAGACTGTTTGTTATCTTTCTTAGCATATAGTTCTCAGGAGAACTATAGCGCTTGGAGAGGATGAGTGGCTCGACGTTTCGAACAGGTTGACTATCCGTCGCCAGGAGTCTCCTGACGACGGATAGTCAACAAGGCTAGACAGAAGAAGAGGGTCAGACTAAAGGCTATAGTCACCAATAACGAACTGGAGCAGGTACAAACTGCTCCAAGCTCGTTTCAGATCTATGAACAGAAAACCCCACAAGATCGACCTTACAACGATCTTCATCTGGCAGAAAGGTTTAGCAAGAAGGCTTTTTCATATTTCAAAACCAGGGGAAGGGACAAAGTTGGTACTCCTACATGTATACTACTCCGAAGCATCTCTGCCATGCGAAAAGGCCCAGATGTTAAAAGATCACTTCTGTCATGTCTTTACCCTTGAGGATCGTATACGAAATACTTGGCATTACTCGCCGGTAATTCTCCGGTGAGTCTCATCAACATCCCATCTATCATCTTGATGATCACAATTCAATTTCTTAAATGAAAACCAACATGGATTTCGGAAACACCGAAGCTGTGAGAGCAAGCTCATTCTTACAATAAAAGACCTGATACGATCATTCGACCAGGGTACTATTAGCAGGACGTTATGATTCTCGACTTCAGCAAGGCCTTTGATAAGGTACCCCATCAAAGACTTCTCTTCCTACTTCGAAAGTGTGGCATTCAAGGTCGACATTTGGTTGACGACAAGATCACAGAGAATAATCGTTGGTGGGGAATGCTCAGCCTCGGTTGACGGACTATCAGGTATCACACAGGGGTCCGTCCTAGGCCCGCTCCTCATCCTCGTATATATCAATAATATCAATATAAACATATCGTCGAGTATGAGGCTATTTGCAGATGATTGCATCCTCTACCAAGTGATTAAGACGATCAATGACAGTGTAATCCTTCAGGCGGATCTGAACAGACTATCTACATGGGCAGACAAGTGGCAAATGAAATTCAACGTCACTAAGTGCTACTTTCTTCAAACGTTAAGAAGGAGACGTAACCTCATCAGCCAAGCATACTACATATTAAGTAGTACCACCCTCAAGGAGGTGAACAACCATGATCACTACCTCGGAGTGGAACTACCAATAACTTATCCTGGGAGAACCAAGTGAATAAAGTAGTCACACATGCCAACTGTATGCCCGGCTGAAGGGTGAACTAAAATGGAAACCACTACAAAAAGTCGACGTTTTGTGGCTAGGCACATCAAAGATCAGGTCGCCATATCCATACCTGAATACATTACACCACCCCAGAAGATACTCAAGGGACACTATAATTTCTCCTTCTCAAACACAAGATGCAATACGGATGTTTATCGGCTCATCATCTTTCCGAGAACTATTCGGGCCTGGAATCTACCTTATCTTTAGTTTTTATTTAGATATCGTGGTACCACTCTTTTTTCGTGTTACCATGGTTGTACCTTGGTATATGTACTTTGGTCAAAATATCGTGTACCGTGGTAATTTTTATAAGGGTTATGTTAAGTATGTATTTAAAAGGAAGATGTCTCACCTCTGTATTCTTACAACATGGTTCAATCCCCCAGCACATTAACATGTGAGCAGCGTCGACATCTCCCTTCTTGCAAGATGCATGAAGGAAACCAAACCTAGCGTACAGCTCTTCTTGGTCTGATCTACCAGGCATTTCCTTCAATGTTTGGTTCCCACACATCGCCCTCTCTATTCCAAGACTATGATGACTATAGAATGGGAAGAGCTTGTCTCGTACATCCTCAGGAAGGGCTTGCATGTACTTGTATGCTTCTTTCACAGAGTCTGAACTCTTCTCCAGAATTTCTAGGAGGGCCGTACAGGCATCTGCATGCAGAACAGGAAACAAGATAACACTCCCATTAAAAGAATTGATAATGCATCTTTCATTCGCGACATACGTGTACAAACATGTGGACCTTACTTAGGAAACAACCTGATCATTGATTTGATTGCAACAAAAATAAAATTGATCACGGATATCACATATTAACATAATGCAAAATTAACATTTCGATCCTTTTGTGTGTTGAAACAAATGGGCAAACTGTCCGGCACTACGTCACAGTGACATTACCAATTCACCTAAAGTACCTATACCTATAGGGATCACAGCTTCTTCTTCTTCTTTTTTTTTTGGGGGGGGGGGGGTCTGATTTAATTCAACTTTCACGTTTCACCAGTTCGCTTTTCTGCTTTCTGTTGGAGTACTAGTACTTGTCTCTGATCGTTGTATTTCAGTTAAAATCCTGGTCTCACCACTTACCTTAACCCTAACCCTAAATCTTGTTTTATTGCAACCGTAACAGTAACCATCTACCTTTAAATACATGCAGCAACAGGCAACTGTTGTCAGTGTAAATGTTAGATCAGCTACTCAAAACACTACTTACTTTTCACTCATATAGCAGGCACACTTCCAGGGGGGGGGGGTGGGGCTGTAATTCAATATTCTATTGTGAGGGGTGGAGCACCCAAGTTGTTTACATTTACTTTCTTGAAAAGGGGGGGGGGTAATTCAATATTATATTATGATGGGGTAGAGCAACCAAGTTGTTTGCATTTACTTTCTTGAAATGGGGGGGGGGGGGAAAGAAATTTGGGGGATCTTGAGCTCCCCCTCCCCCACCCTCTATAATCGCTACCAGCCTATACACCTAGACAGGCAAGCTCATTAACATAACTAGGTCAGGCTCAAGGGTAAACTAACTTAGACATATAGGACTTCACAAATCACCTTTTTAAATGTGTTGGTTTGTTTGAACAACTATCAGAAAATGCAAATAAACACAAAATAAACGTGAATCCAGACTAAATGTCAAATATAAAGTCAGTGATAAGTACAAATCGTTTAGAAGGTTTAGCTATGATAGAATAGGTTATATACATAATGAATGACAATAAAATCTAAATTCCAATAAGAAAAGTACAAGTTTCATGGAATATTTTCTGTGAAGAAAAGGACATTCATGAAATCTTTAGTGCATGATAAAAAGTACTCCTAACGTAAAGTTGAAAACACTTGTAGCTACTTGCGCCCTCTATCTAACAAACAATGACTAATCGGTGACCATTGGTCCCCAAAGATCCTCTTTTTCTTATGTTAACTGAGAGCTGAGTTGATGAGATAACCACCTGTCCAGTGACCTTGCATGGCAGTCTAATCCCTCCTATAAACTACGGCAGATAAGCTTTAAATCATTTTTTATTGCAAACAATAAAACGTCATAACTTTTTTAACCCCTTAAACCGATATTCCTGCCCCTTTCAAATGATTTTCTAAATTCCTGCTAATATTTAAGTCACATTTTGTGTTAACTGCCAGTCAATGTGATACGGGGTCAGTAGCTTACAGGGGTTTGAACGATACAAGGGGTGGCTATCAGAGATGAAATTGTTTAAACTATCCATTGACATTAGGTGATACAATTTTAGTCAAAATGATAAACCTCAGTAAACACAACAAAGAAAATTTAAAGAAATTTTGGAATTTCAAAAGAAAAGGAAGTGTATTTGTATCCATTCTCTAAGCATATTAGACTGATTCAAGAACATGTTAACAAATTATAATCTATCGCAGAAGGTGATAATTCTTATGGGGATGTGAATATCTTTAGATAAGTGTTTTTTCCTAACCTGGGATCAATTGCCACTATTTTCTTCTGGAATACGAGAATACATTATAATTTGATAAACTGACCATTCAGGAGCACATTGAGATGGTGAAATAACAACAACATAAAAGCATATAAAAGCTTTATAAACAAATCTATTTCACAAAACAAAACACACACTCAACTGATACCAATCTGATTGACAGACAAAGTACACAAACTCTTTTTAGTGGGGAATCCCAGAATACTTGGATCAGTGCTTGGAATAAAAAGGGTGCATTTATGAGATTCGCGTGATATCAAAGTGATATCAAAGTGGACTTTGCGCTCCGTATGCTGATTGAAAAGGAAAAATGTATGAAAGGACTAACCAGGCAGCAGGCGCGGATCCAGGATTTCTTAGGGGGGGGGGCCCAAATTTGAAATTATGCGAGCCAAAAATTGGAACGTAATGGTGACCAGCAGTGACGTAATGCGGGGGGGGGGTTGGGTGCAGGGAAAGGGCGAGTTTCCCCCTCCCTCCTCCTCGAAACGCGATAGCTTTGACGTTTAATTAAATTATTAGAGAAAGAAGACGATTCATAGTACCGTTCTCGAAAATAATCCTCGTCTGAATTCAGGTTCACCCCTCCCGCGCGAAGCGTGGAAACTTTTACGTTTCATTAAATAATTAGAGAAACAAGACGATTCGTTGTACAGTTCTCGACTCTTAATCCTCGTCTGAATACAGGTTCCCCCCTCCCGCGCGAAGCGCGGAAGCTTTTACGTTTCATTAAATCATTAGAAAAACAAGACGATTCGTTGTACATTTCTCGACTCTTAATCCTTGTCTGAATTCAGTTTTCCCCCTCCCGCGCGAAGCGCGGAAGCTTTTACGATTCATTAAATCATTAGAGAAACAAGACGATTCGTTGTACATTTCTCGACTCTTAATCCTCATCTGAATTCAGTTTTCCCCCTCCCGCGCGAAGCGCGGAAGCTTTTACGATTCATTAAATCATTAGAGAAAGAAGACTATTCGTTGTACCGTTCTCGAAAATAATCCTCGCTGAATTCATTTTCACTGCCCCCCCCCCCCCGGCCCCTCCTGCGCGAAGCGCGGAAGCTTTTACGATTCATTAAATCATTAGAGAAAGAAGACGATTTGTTGTACAGTTCTCGACTCTTAATCCTCGTCTGAATACAGGTTCCCCCCTCCCGCGCGAAACGCGGAAGCTTTTACGTTACATAAAATCATTTGAGAAACAAGACGATTCGTTGTACATTTCTCGACTCTTAATCCTCGTCTGAATTCAGTTTTCCCCCTCCCGCGCGAAGCGCGGAAGCTTTTACGATTCATTAAATCATTAGATAAAGAAGACTATTCGTTGTACCGTTCTCGAAAATAATCCTCGTCTGAATTCATTTTCACCGCCCCCCCCCCCCCCGGCCCCTCCTGCGCGAAGCGCGGAAGCTTTTACGATTCATTAAATCATTAGAGAAAGAAGACGATTCGTTGTACAGTTCTCGACTCTTAATCCTCGTCTGAATACAGGTTACGCCCTCCCGCGCGAAACGCGGAAGCTTTTACGTTACATAAAATCATTTGAGAAACAAGACGATTCGTTGTACATTTCTCGACTCTTAATCCTCGTCTGAATTCAGTTTTCCCCCTCCCGCGCGAAGCGCGGAAGCTTTTACGATTCATTAAATCATTAGAAAAAAGACGATTCGATGTACATTTCTCGACTCTTAATCCTCGTCTGAATTCAGTTTTCCCCTCCCGCGCGAAGCGCGGAAGCTTTTACGATTCATTAAATCATTAGATAAAGAAGACTATTCGTTGTACCGTTCTCGAAAATAATCCTCGTCTGAATTCATTTTCACCGCCCCCCGGCCCCTCCTGCGCGAAGCGCGGAAGCTTTTACGATTCATTAAATCATTAGAGAAAGAAGACGATTCGTTGTACAGTTCTCGACTCTTAATCCTCGTCTGAATACAGGTTACCCCCTCCCGCGCGAAGCGCGGAAGCTTTTACGTTTCATTAAATCATTAGAGAAACAAGACGATTCGTTGTACATTTCTCGACTCTTAATCCACGTCTGAATTCAGTTTTCCCCCTCCCGCGCGAAGCGCGGAAGCTTTTACGGGTCATTAAATCATTAGAGAAACAAGACGATTCGTTGTACATTTCTCGACTCTTAATCCTCGTCTGAATTAAGTTTTCCCCCTCTCGCGCGAAGCGCGGAAGCTTTTACGATTCATTAAAACATTAGAGAAACAAGACGATTCGTTGTACATTTCTCGACTCTTAATCCTCATCTGAATTCAGTTTTCCCCCTCCCGCGCGAAGCGCGGAAGCTTTTACGATTCATTAAATCAATAGAGAAAGAAGACTATTCGTTGTACCGTTCTCGAAAATAATCCTCGTCTGAATTCATTTTCACCGCCCCCCCCCCCGGCCCCTCCTGCGCGAAGCGCGGAAGCTTTTACGATTCATTAAATCATTAGAGAAAGAAGACGATTCGTTGTACAGTTCTCGACTCTTAATCCTCGTCTGAATACAGGTTCCCCCCTCCCGCGCGAAACGCGGAAGCTTTTACGTGACATAAAATCATTTGAGAAACAAGACGATTCGTTGTACATTTCTCGACTCTTAATCCTCGTCTGAATTCAGTTTTCCCCCTCCCGCGCGAAGCGCGGAAGCTTTTACGATTCATTAAATCATTAGAAAAAAGACGATTCGATGTACATTTCTCGACTCTTAATCCTCGTCTGAATTCAGTTTTCCCCTCCCGCGCGAAGCGCGGAAGCTTTTACGATTCATTAAATCATTAGATAAAGAAGACTATTCGTTGTACCGTTCTCGAAAATAATCCTCGTCTGAATTCATTTTCACCGCCCCCCGGCCCCTCCTGCGCGAAGCGCGGAAGCTTTTACGATTCATTAAATCATTAGAGAAAGAAGACGATTCGTTGTACAGTTCTCGACTCTTAATCCTCGTCTGAATACAGGTTACCCCCTCCCGCGCGAAGCGCGGAAGCTTTTACGTTTCATTAAATCATTAGAGAAACAAGACGATTCGTTGTACATTTCTCGACTCTTAATCCACGTCTGAATTCAGTTTTCCCCCTCCCGCGCGAAGCGCGGAAGCTTTTACGGGTCATTAAATCATTAGAGAAACAAGACGATTCGTTGTACATTTCTCGACTCTTAATCCTCGTCTGAATTAAGTTTTCCCCCTCACGCGCGAAGCGCGGAAGCTTTTACGATTCATTAAAACATTAGAGAAACAAGACGATTCGTTGTACATTTCTCGACTCTTAATCCTCATCTGAATTCAGTTTTCCCCCTCCCGCGCGAAGCGCGGAAGCTTTTACGATTCATTAAATCAATAGAGAAAGAAGACTATTCGTTGTACCGTTCTCGAAAATAATCCTCGTCTGAATTCATTTTCACCGCCCCCCCCCCCCCCGGCCCCTCCTGCGCGAAGCGCGGAAGCTTTTACGATTCATTAAATCATTAGAGAAAGAAGACGATTTGTTGTACAGTTCTCGACTCTTAATCCTCGTCTGAATACAGGTTCCCCCCTCCCGCGCGAAACGCGGAAGCTTTTACGTGACATAAAATCATTTGAGAAACAAGACGATTCGTTGTACATTTCTCGACTCTTAATCCTCGTCTGAATTCAGTTTTCCCCCTCCCGCGCGAAGCGCGGAAGCTTTTACGATTCATTAAATCATTAGAAAAAAGACGATTCGATGTACATTTCTCGACTCTTAATCCTCGTCTGAATTCAGTTTTCCCCTCCCGCGCGAAGCGCGGAAGCTTTTACGATTCATTAAATCATTAGATAAAGAAGACTATTCGTTGTACCGTTCTCGAAAATAATCCTCGTCTGAATTCATTTTCACCGCCCCCCCCCCCGGCCCCTCCTGCGCGAAGCGCGGAAGCTTTTACGATTCATTAAATCATTAGAGAAAGAAGACGATTCGTTGTACAGTTCTCGACTCTTAATCCTCGTCTGAATACAGGTTACCCCCTCCCGCGCGAAGCGCGGAAGCTTTTACGTTTCATTAAATCATTAGAGAAACAAGACGATTCGTTGTACATTTCTCGCCTCTTAATCCTCGTCTGAATTAAGTTTTCCCCCTCTCGCGCGAAGCGCGGAAGCTTTTACGATTCATTAAATCATTAGAGAAAGAAGACAATTCGTTGTACCGTTTTCGACTCCTAATTCTTGTCTAAATGTAGTCCCAACCCCCAACCCCCTCCTGCGCGAAGCGCGGAAGCTTTGACGTTTCATTAAATTATTAGAGAAAGAAGACGATTCGTTGTACCGTTCTCAAAAATAATCCTCGTCTGAATTCAGTTACCCCCCCCCCTCCTCCCGTGCGTAGCGCGGAAGCTTTTACATTACTTTAAATCATTAGAGAACCAAGACGATTCGTTGTACCGTTCTCGATGCTTAATCCTCGTCTGAGTTCAGTTTCCCCCCAGCTCAGACGTTTAAGGCAATAAATTACGGTCAGACAAGCATTCAGGGGCCCGCCTTAGGGCCCCTGGTGGGGTCGAGGCGGTGGAGCCCCCGGAAGCTCGGGGTTTTTTGGCGTTTAATTACGGTCAGATGAGCATTTTTTATAATCCTTATTATTTTGTCACACTGGCAGGACACTTAGGCGTGGGGTCAAGGGGACAAAGCCCCCCAAAATCAGAGGTTTTAGGCATTAAATTACCGTCAACTGAGCATCGAAGGGCCCGTCTTAGGGCCCAAGGTGGAATCCAGGGGGCAGAGCCCCGGAAGCTCAGGGGTTTTAGGCGTTTATTTACGGTCAGATGAGCATTTTGTTATAATCCTCATTATTTTGTGTCACTAGCAGGACACTATTTGGCGTGGGATCCAGGGGGCGGAGCCCCCCAAAATCAGCGGTTTTAGGCATTAAATAACCGTCAGATGAGCTTCGAAGGGCCCACCTTAGGGCCCTAGGTGGAATCCAGGGGGTAGATCCCCCGGAAGCTTAGGGGTTTTAAGCATTTAATCACGGTCTGATGATCATATTTTGATGCCTCTTTATTTGTTAACACTGGCAGTTAACTATTCTTTCTTTCTTGCTCTCTTTTTTTTTCTTTCTCTTTAATATATTTTTTTTGTTAAAGTGTGGGGGGGGCTCGAGGCTCCCGATTCCCGCCGTTCCTCGGGCCTTGACATGTTGGAATCTCAATATTTCTTGCCTGGCTGTAAATTTAGGAATTTGTCATTTTCCAACAAACGCATAAAAAAGTATAATTTACTAAAAAGTGAGGAAACATCTCGGAAATTATGTAATTTCAGCATTATTTGTAATCCACAATTATGGAATTAGAAATAAAACACGTTTGAATTTGATTTCCCCCAAGCCCCCCCCCCCCTCTATCAGTACGCCCCCCCCCCCCCCGATCTCCTTCTTCCCCCTTTTTTTCTTCTTCCTCTTCTTTCTTTCCCTTTCTCTCCTCTTTCCCTTTCCCTTCTTTTCCTTTCTTCTCTCTTTTTTTTTTTTTTTTTTGCCGGGGGGGGGGGCCAAGGCCCGCTCAGCCCCCCCCCTGGATCCGCGCCTGCCAGGCAGTAGGCAAGATCTCGTTAGCAATAATCGTCATTGTCAACAAGACATAACAACATTACTTAATGAACATAATTATTTGATCGGCTGAGCAACTTATTATTAAAAAGTCATCATATAAAAGTGATACATAAAGAGTTATGACAGCGTGTCTGAACAAGAACTAAAGTGCATGGTCTATTCATGGACTGTGTAAGGTCCATGGTCTACTGCACCCCACAGACAGATACTAACATAGTTGGCTAAGTTTCATGTTTTTTAATGGAATTGTTTAGAGTGTCAAATTATAACCTATGCCTGAAAATTAGCACGCGCTTTGCAAATACGTTCTGGCAAGTTTCATTGATCATTTTGGATGGTTTGAGCAAGGACCTCTAAGCCTGGATGAAATTTATTATATCATAAGCCAGCATTATTACAGGTAGCATTTTATGATCTGACTTGTTATCTTACTGACCAAATGTGTCAATTTGCCAGAATTAATTCAATCATTTTCTTTTTCTAAATCCCTGCCTCTGGTAACTTTTGGCAAATGGATATAAATGACCAAACCATGTCTCGAGGCATTTTAAGAGAGGTTCTGAATTCCGACTTAGATGTAAGCAGGGGTCTAAATTAGGATTGATTTTGGTTTAGAAACCAACAACTCTCTTGGGATATTCTATAAGTATGCACATGTATATCAAAAATGTATCCAAGGGTTTGAACAAATTTGAAACCTTCGATTCTGGTTGCAATAGGGTGAATATGACATGGTTTGACGGTTTAAATAGGCCTTTCCTCATATGGATGCTGTTTAGTGAATTACCTGGCATGAGAAAAAAATCATTTCTTACAAAAGTATGAGTCGTACAAAGTTTTGGTATGGGGCCATAAGTTTGGTTCAAAATAATAATAATAATAATAATATTAATCTTTTAAAGTCCACTCCAAATTTTATTAAGTTAAACCGAAAATGAAAATATTGGAAACATATGCGATCTTACAATATTCAAAGATCGTTGTCGCGGTTGAAATCGAGTAAGAAGTGATGAAATTGTATATAATAAACTCTTTTCGTTGTATAGTTCCCTCTCAAGGTCAATATATTGATTTAGCTATAAAACAATGTTTTGTTGACTAAAATCGACCAATTGGCCATTCCCGTTTGGAAATTATATATCGCAAATACATATTGTGAGATGTTCATGGTCGCAGCTCCCATTATATGGCCGTAGGTTCTTTTTGAAAATTATCGAAATTTACCCGGGAGCACCGGTAAATTTAGATATTCAATTTTTCTCGAAAGCAGAAGCGTTTTATGGGCTAACATTTCTAGTGCTTATATTACATCCACAGGGGCATCCAAATATTTCAAAATTGTTAAGAATCTTTATCCAGCCAATTTTTAAAATTCCCAAAAACTATGTATTACCTTTGAAGAGGATGCATATGATTTTATTAAAACTAAATCAAATGTATCTCCGAATACCATTAATAAAAGTAGTCTTAAATACCTTTATAAAAATTAAGGTCATAGAAGTTAGCTACTACAAGTAGTTTAAAATAAATTACAAACAAATCAATAGTTTAATTACAGTCTATCACACTTGATACTATAATGTAGTAGGCCTACTTTTACTTGTTTCAATCTCAGTTTCATTTTGTTGTCTTTTCTTATACTACATTTAGTGTCACTGAGTTTTACACACAGCCAAGGGTACTGAAAATATCACTTTTTGGCTACTGCTTCCAAATACTTTGCATTTTTAACACTTGAAATCTGATGAAAAATACATAAATACAGATGCAAAAACGACCAAGAATATTACCTTGCAACATGTCATAGTTGTCCATTGTTGTCTGCTTCAATCACTCTGTCCTCTTCCAAAATACAAAGTACCTGTCATGTATCCTACTTACATCGTTTTCCTATATTTTTGACACTACGACACTTCTAAGTTCCAATCGCAGTGAAGAATATGAAATTAACCGTGGTTCTATTAAGCTGGTCGTAAAGGTGTAATTTGACATGCAACACTTCAACTATATGACTGTTTCGAAAATCGAACCTTAATTGTCTTGACACCCACTAGTGAGGGAGCATGATGCTAGTTTGTCTCACTCTGCATCGGAGCCTCCTGCCTAATCCGTCCAATACAGATTTGTCAAGAAAATCCTTTATACTTTAGTTTTAACCGTTCATAATCCCGGTGCATGAATTTACAAATTCAAATTAGCATATGCGGAGGGGTCATTATTTTGTCGCCTGATGCATATCTTCACTTCCCCCAAATCAGTATGTAGGCCTAGGGTCTACCTCCAAGATGAAATTAGGAATCTCTGCCTGCATCCATTCGAAATTCAACGTGTGCAAGCTCTCTGGATATGCACGCCCGTCAAACGTCGACTCAACCTCATTTGTGTTTTGATTTCGAATTCCAGTCGATCTAATTCCTTTCAAGTTTCAGAAGGTCTGTTCTATTACTTCACATCTTATTCCATCTGGCATCCTTCTTGACTCTGAATACACACAAATAACACAATAATACACTTCAATTAGTGTGGGGTAGCTTGACAACAACTAGAATGTTTCAATTTCACACTAACTGATGCCACGCCCTAGTTTCCGTGGCGGCCCTAGCTAGCTCGCACACCTGTACTGCACGAGCTGTCAATGCACCTTCTACCAACGGCCCCGGACCCAACACAAATTCATTAACGACACAGACAAGTTTGCCTGCTACGTACACATCGTACTGCAGACAAATAATATCGTTCATTGGCCCGGGTCTCATGTTAGAGCTGGGTAATCTATAATAATCCACTCTTTTATGTTACCAAACTTTTCAAATCGGTTCTAGGACGATTACCCCCTTGGACAATCACCCCCGGCCAATTACCAGCGGGATAATTACCCCCTCCCCCCAGGCCAATAGTAGCAAGAAGTGGCCAGTAGAAAGATACATTGATTAAAGGTATCGTTTTAATAATGTTTCCAGTTTTACGAATTTGAGATGCATGGCCCTGCATGTTTTCAGTGTTTGTGATTTAGTGTAATATAATAACTGTATAACAGTCAAAAAGAATATTACTTCACGTAGATTCCCAACAAATAATACATCTCGCCTGATTGGTGATATTATGATAGAAACATAGGAAGATATACTCGCATATAATAATGTAAACTAAGAATATGATTTATTTTGGTCTGAGATTTTTGCATATTTTGAGGAAAATCTTACAAAGGTTAGGAAAAGATCAAGACGTAATAATAAGAATGCAAGAAACTGCATATCTTCTTGGAGTGCAGTCCGTCTTACTAGTAATCCATTTATATGCATGACTGAATTAAAATCATACTTTCGGGGGAATAAAGACAATGGTCTTTTTTGTTTCCCAACCTCAAAAGCTCCTTTATAGACTGGTCTCATTCAGGATCGTCACAAAGGTGTGTGAGACACCATTGACTGTTCAATTTTGTGTGTATGTTGAAATGCTAATGTAACAATAAAATTACAAAACTATGTAAACTGCAGTTCTAATCTCGACTCTTGATGCAGAAAATGAGTTCAGGAAATTGATCATGCACGTACAGATCGTTCCTCTTGTGGTCGTGTATTCAAAGTTGTGAATACAATGAATGATCGTTCCAAAGTTCCCTCAATCTCTCATTTGAAAAGAAATTCAGCCAAGTTGAATGGGGAGAGGTATGCCAATTACTATACTCATACATGGGCGCCTGAGGCGGGGCAGGGGGCAGGGGCCGTCCCCCCCCCCCCCCCCCCCAGACGAAGAAGTAGGGGGTAGTAGGGGAGTAAAAAAATCAATAGTAAAGGAGTAAAATGGTTTATCTTTTTTAACCAAAAATAAAATAAAAAATAAAACCTGAATTGAATCACATAAAAACTAAATTCCATTCAAAGAAAAGGAGAGTAAACAGGAAGTTTAGAAGCCTTCATGTCAGGTCCTGCAGAACGGCGGGGATCGGAGGCTCGAACCCCCTCTCGTTTATGAAAAAGTATGTTAAAGAGAAGAAGAAAGAATGAGTGTCCTGCCAGTGTTTCAAATAAAGTATCAAAAACATTACATATTTGGATATCTCATTTGTGACACTGGCAGGTCAGGTGAGCATAATATTATGCTCATGTGACTGTAATTAATGCCTAAAACCCCTGAGCTTACGGAGGATACGCCCCTGGACCCCACCAAGGGCCCTAAGGTAGCCCCTGGATGCTCATCTGACCGTAATTAAATACCTAAAACTCCTGAGCTTCCGGGAACTCTACCCCTGGACCCCACCAAGGGCCCTAAGGAGGGCCCCTGGATGCTCATCTGACAGTAATCAAATACCTAAAAACACTGAGCTTCAGGGGCTCTCCCACCTCTCCAAACTCCAGTTTGCTGCAAAAAGCAAAGCTCATCAGACCGCCAGGCGCTTCGCTAACGAGTACTGAATACAACTGAGCGAATAAATTTAAACTGCTACCATAACCGGGAACATAAGAAGAATGTACGATGGTATCAAGAAAGCATTGTGACTAGTCCAGGGCAAGACAGCACCCTTCATATCCTCCACTGGGAAAGTAATCACAGACAAGATTCAGCAGATGGAGAGGTGGGTGGAACACTACTCTGACCTCTACTCCAGACAGGACACTGTGTCGATTTCAGCTCTTGATGCAATTGATTGTCTACCTACCATGAATGAGCTCGATGCCGAGCCAACTTTGGATGAGCTCAGCAAGGCCATTGACAGCCTGGCTGCAGGAATGTCACCAGGCAGTGATTGAATACCACCCGACCGGATTAAGCACTGCAAGACAACCCTATTGCACGAAGTCCTCTGCAGTGCTGGCAAGAAGGTGCTGTACACAGAATATGAAGGATGCCAAGATCATCACCATCTACAAGAACAAGGGCGCGCGAGCGAAGCGACTGCAACAACTACAAGGGCATCTCGCTCCTCAGCATTGCTGGCAAAGTCTACACACGTACCATCCTAGTTCGCCTACGGAAACTAGCCGGACGTGTTTACCCTGAGTCCCAGTGTGGGTTCTGCACCAATTAGAGATCAACGGTAGACATGATTTTCTCCCTTCGCCACCTTCAGGAGTAATACAGAGAACAGAACATGCCCGTGTCCCTCGCTTTCATCGATCTCCCCAAGGCATTCGATCTGGCTAGCATTCAAGATGCCCCCCAAACCTACAGAGCCTCATCGATTCCTTCCATACAGACACGAAGGAGACATTGTAATGTAACGGCAGCACCTCAGATCCATTCGACATACGCAGCGACGTCAAACAAAGCTGCAGCCTTGCTCCGACTCTCTTTGGGATCATCTTTGCCTTTCTCCTGGAGCATGTCTTTAGCGCAGTAACAGAGGAGATCTACCTACACTCTAGATTAGACGCTAGCCTCAAAGCCAAAACAAAAGTACGGGAGATTCTGGTCAAACACATGCTATTGCCAGACGACGCTGCTGACAAAACCCATACGCACCAGGAGCTCCAGACCCCACTGAATCGTTTCTCCAAGGCCTGCAAGGACTTTGGGCTATCAGTCTAAAGTAGACGAACATCCTGGGACAGGGTGTAGAAGATCCGCTATCCACCATTATTGATAACTACGAACTGGATGCTGCAGATGATGCAGATCACGTATCTTGTGTCCACCGTTTGCAGCAACCTCTCCCCGGACGCAGAGCTCAACATTTTCACAATGATTTATTCCTAATAGATCTAAATAATAGTATACATTCTCATATTTTATTGAATAATAATTCGCGAGTGTTTGTTTTGCGTGCCTGCTAAAGCCTGTGTATGCTGCTTTGCTTACCAACTAGGGGACCTACGTCCTTAATTCATAACTGACAGTAATGAGGGTTAATGCCTCACAAAAGGGCACTAATATAGCTGATCAACACAATTTTGACCCTGGGGCTCACAGTTACGAGGTCATTGCTTTGCAAATGAATCGTGATTGTACGCAGCGGGGGCTAGGGTAGGTGGCATATCAAGATAAAACTAAGAAAATGCAATAAATTTTCAATAATTCATTCTATTTTCCCCCGGTCTCCAGCAGGAAAAATTCCTCTGTACAGCCATGCAGTATGGTTCAAGGCCTGGCCACACAGAGGATTTGTTCTGTTGAGGACCGGGAGAAAATGCGATGAATTATTGATAATTTATTGCATTTTCTTTGTGTTTTTAAGATGCAAAAAGCGTGTGGATTTTTTGAAATGCCTAACATGAACTTGGCTGGGTGCAGATACAAAAACGCTACTGTTACAACACCAATTTTGTATCAGATAGGCACTGTTTGCTATATAGAGGGCGCAAGTAGCTATAAATTGTGCATTGGGGCTGTAGTACAAGTAAAATACATGTTTATTTCATAATACAGTATTCACTGGGGTGGCTCTATAACCTGTACTTATCTTAAATTTTGGAACGTAAAAAGCTGCACCGTTTAGACCATCATGAAGTTTGGATCCATCTGTATATATTTTGTAATAGTTGTTCCATTTTATTGATTTTTTTTCTAATGTGCAATTTAACCGCTGTATTGGAAGTAACTCTTTTATTTCTTGTTCACAATCATGCACACTGAAAGACACATTTGGCTTCACAAAATGCCAAGGAGGAGTATACGTGGAGTACAATCCGACGCCTGTTTCTCTGGGTTTGGTTTGTCTAAAGTGCAGGCTCGATTCATGAGGGGACCCTCATTCTATTTCCATTTATTGCATTCGTATTGCCAACAATAATTGTGTAATACATACGTTGTTGCGCTACTAAGGATGTCATGCCGTATAAACCACAAGTGGTAATCCTAAGCGCTTGGTATTGTCC